TTAAAAAGGGCATCCCAAGAATTCAAAGTTTAACTATCGGGTAGGAATGGTTTTAATGGGGGTATCTTGGATCAGAACATCCTCCAAAACAGGTACCTTTTCCAAAAGTACGGGTCTTTCAGGAAAAGACAGGATCTCAAAGTGAAATGATGGATTTTTTGAAAGGCATTCCGTTTTAGAGGTCGTTCAGGTTACAGGTATATATATAAATATAGATTGTTGAATTTTACAATCAGAGAAACAAATTTAATGGGGTTGGATGTGGTTTTACTGGCATAATTTATGGCTGAATTAAAGTCGTAATTCACTACCCCGAAAGTGGCTGAGACTTACGGCCGTTTGAAGATTCCCCATATATATATATAATAGGCACCCATGACTTAGGACTTAGGTCACCATAGTGACATAGGAGTTTGTGCACCAAGTCCTAAGTCACTGGTGTTCTTACCAGGTGATTTGTGCGCAGCAAGTCCTAAGTCATTGGGGTTATGATTGGACTTAAGCACTTTTTCGGGTAAAATAAAAATAAAAAATCTTCTCTTGATAAGTCATCAGAACCTACATACTTACATTACATTACAGTAAATTACATCACACTACGGTACATTACATTACAATACAGTAAAGTACAGTACATTACACTACAGTACATTGCATTACATTATAACACATTACAGTACATTACATTACATACATGCACAGGACTTGGTGCACAAAATCGTCTGTCACTAGAGGGGCACAAGTCCTAAGTCATCAGAACCTACATATTTACAGTACATTGCAGTACAGTACAGTACATTACACTACAGTACATTACATTACCTTACAGTAAAGTACAGTACATTACATCACACTACAGTACATTACATTACAGTAAAGTGCAGTACATTACAGTAAAGCGCAGTACATTACATTACATTACGTTACATTACATTACATGACACTACGGTACATTACAGTACATACATGCATAGGACTTGGTGCACAAAATCGTATGTCACCAGAGGGGCACAAGTCCTAAGTCATCAGAACCTACATACTTACAGTACATTACAGTACATTACATTACATTACACTACAGTACATTACATATATTACAGTACAGTACATTACACTACATGCATGCATAGGACTTGGTGCACAACATCGTATGCCACTAGAGGGGCACAAGTCCTAAGTCATCAGGACCTACATACTTACAGTACATTACAGTACAGTATTTACTGTACATTACAGTACAGTACATTACAGTACATAGATGCAAAGGACTTGGAAAGCGTCCATCACCAGAGGGGCACAAGGCCTAAGTCATCAGAACGTACATACATATCTTACATTACATTACAATACAGTACATTACATCCCAATACATTTTTCAATATTTTTCAATTTATTTAACTGCTTGAAAATACTGTCTGTATATAAATCGAAGGAAAAAACCGTTGTGCTTCCCTATTGTATTCCCCGTTGCACTACCCCGTCGTTGGGTCGAAGTCCTCGAGCCAATCGTTGAAAAAATGATGACTTAGGACTTGTGCCCATCTTCAAAAAAAAATATTTCACAAAAATCTGTGATTTTCCATTTTTTCCTTCGATTTATATACAGAAAGTATTTTAAAGCAATTAAATAAATTGAAAAAATATAAATATTTTTTTTTCACTTTTCATTTTTCTCTGTTGTTTCCCGTTTTGTTTCCCCGTTGTGCTTTTTATTGTATTCCCCGTTGCACTACCCCGTCGTTGGGTCGAAGTCCTCGAGCCAATCGTTGAAAAAATGATGACTTAGGACTTGTGCCCATCTTCAAAAAAAATATGTCACAAAAATCTGTAATTTTTTTCAGATAGATATGCACAAATTTTAACATTTCACTATGTTACAAAAGCAGTTTTTTCTGGTTTTCAAAAATCTGTGATTTTCATTTTTTTGACATTTCCCCGTTAACACCCCGTTGTGGTTTCCGGCTGAGAGCTGGCACTGGATCTCGGGGAACCGGGTCGAAGTCCTCGGGCCAGCCTCTCCGCCTTTCCGCCAACGCGCGCGCGCGTTGGCGGAAAGGCAGGCTCGAGGACTTCGGCCCAACGACGGGGTAGTGCAACGGGGAATACAATAGGGAAGCACAACGGGGAAACAAAACGGGAAACAACAGAGAAAAATGAAAAGTGAAAAAAATATATATTTTTCAATTTATTTAATTGCTTTAAAATACTTTCTGTATATAAATCGAAGGAAAAAATGGAAAATCACAGATTTTTGTGAAATATTTTTTTTGAAGATGGGCACAAGTCCTAAGTCATCATTTTTTCAACGATTGGCTCGAGGACTTCGACCCAACGACGGGGTAGTGCAACGGGAAACACAAACGGGAAGCCAAATAGCTGCAGCGCACGAGCGTGATGACTTAGGATCATCTTAGTATACTTCTGCTAGTTAATTCCTATGTCATCCTGGTTTTATGAGTGGTCCATGCCGCACAAAAAAAATCTAGCATAGTTTCTAATCTCATACGGACACCTGATGAGTTAGGACTTGTGCAGGGGGGGTCTGAAGCATGATGAGATAGGACTTGCCCACCCCAGGGTATCTTTCACAAGTCCTAAGTCACTGGTACCTAATATATATATATATATTTATTTATTTAATTCCCAACGATGTCACAGTGAGGTCATTATAATCTATCCACAGAATTGACAGGAAACCTGCTATTTGTTCGTCAATCATTGGGTTTTTCGGGCAATTTTTTCTATGAACCCTTCTTGGACCCACTCTTGGAGGTCTGGGGTGCTGCCATTTTTGGTCCTCGTCTTTGATTAACCATCGTGCGTTTTTTTTCAAATATATCTATACATAAATATATATATATATACACAGATAGATAGATAGATAGATAGATAGATAGATAGATAGATAGATACATAGATAGATAGATAGATAGATAGATAAATAGGTAGATAGATAGATAGGTAGATAGATAGATAGAGATTTATTTTTAATAGAGTAGGAATTCCATAGCAGACATCAGGTGTTTCAGTCCCAAGGTGAATCCAGGAAAAAGGGGCCCTCTGTCGGTCCCCCGAAAGTGGATTAACCTAAGATCCCCGTGTTTGCTTGGTTTACCGTCTGAGTCAACAAGCGGGCTACAAGTGGAGGAACTCAAATGAGACAATATGTGCCAAAAAAATCCATGTCATGCAATACGGGTTTGTCTAAGGATGGTATCCCACAAATTGATGCTTGATTTTCATATCTCCCATCAACTTTGCAATGTTTGAACATGCACCATTCTCAGACAAACCAATATCCGTTGGTTATATAGTCCATGATATTGTCCCTATTATTATCTATACCTACACACATTTTGCCGAACTGTGGCACCAAACACAAACACAGATATAGTAGGCTCGGGTGACTTCTGACCTTGCGGTCGGTTCAGCCCAGTTTTTCTTGAACATGACATGGGATTATGTATCATTTTAGCTATGTTTTCTTGCGCATGACATGGGAGTTATACGCCTGCCTAACGGGCATTTTCCTCCTTTTCTTGACGCATGCAATGAGAAATCTTGAGACGAATCGAAGAATCTTGGGACTTCCAGGCAAGACATCTGCAAACATTTTTCCCCCTGTGTCGAACGCTGCATCGAACTGTTCTCAAGATTGAAGTGGGGCTGGTTTTCAAGCCTCAAAATGAAGCATGGCCATGCTTCCAAAGAATGGGGTAGGAATGGTTTAGGAAAGGTCAAAACGAACATATTGAATGTTGCATGGTTCCCAAGAGTGGGGCGGGAAGGGGTTGGGAAAGGCTCAAAATGCAGCGCTGGGAGAGGCTTGGGCTGCCCATGCTTTCCAAGCAAGGGGTGGGAAGGGTTTAGGATGGTTTAGGAAGGGTAAACGAACCATGAAAACGGGTTTGGGAGTTTCATGATTCCCAAGACTAGGGTGGGAAGGGTTTGGAAGCGGTTCAATGCGCACCTCAACAACAACTTCTTGTTGTAGAGGTTGTGTTGGAAGAGGAATTTGCACATGAGATGGGATTTCCAAAGTGGGAACTGGCAGGTACCCAGGAAGGCTCACAATGAAGCATGGAGAGGGCATGCTTGTCGAGAATGGGGCGGGAAGGGGATTCGGATGGTTTACGAAGGGTCAAAATAACAGGTTTGTAGCAAGCACATGTTGACCCTGCTTGTTTTACAGAACTTCGCAACAAACATCTATAACAAACTTGCAGTTCCATCCAATGTACCCCTGGAATATACTACAAAATGCCTGTAACATTCACTGAAAGTGTCCCTTGATGTCCCTTGGGTTTTCAAGGTAGAAGCAAACATATCCACTAAAAAAGTGCTATATGTTTACCCATGTTTGTCTTTTCAATGGAAATTATGCTGACACAGCTGCAGCTACAAACTCCATTTCCTAATCTCATTTTTGTGCTACAAAACCATAGGAAATCGCCGGTCTCTACCAAGCACGGCATCACAGACTTTCTGGTGGAAATTGGAATGAAGATCATATACACTCATATACCCACATCTCGTATCTTTGCTAATGTAGGAAGTGACATCTAGAGTGTAGGAGTTCGTTCACACGACATGTTTTGAATCTTGGAGAGCCTAAACAAATGCAGGGGTCCTATGTAATGTCATGTAATATTTTTCCGATGCACTTTCCAGATGAGTTATGCATGTTTTTCTTAAAACAATAACTGTTTTTACTTTGCACATGACACAGATTTTTTTGGAGAAGGTATGTCCGACTACTTCCATGACATCTGCAGGTACTATATGCATATATAACATATATATATATATATATACATACTATGTGCAAAATATAATCACCACTACCCTCCTTCAACACACGCACACACATATATATATATACACACCATGATAGTATCTCTTTTATTGGAAACATGTGGAACCTAATCTTCCAACCTCCAACTTCTATGCAGGATTATCATGTTAATTCACCACATCAAAATATCTCCTACTAACATCTACTAAATACCTCCTAACCTGTGTGAACGGAGTGAAATATGACCATTCAACATCTTTCGTCCCACCAGCCATACAGCCATGCCCAGAATCTGCGAGGTGACTTTGGTCATCCCAGACTTCACCGCTTCGCGCGCCGCATCCATGATCTTGGAGAAGTCGGGACCTTTTTCACCCTTGCCCTCTGTAGCCACCAACTTCGGGTTCTTCGGGTCTTCCTGGAGACACTTGGATCAGGCACGGCCCGCCGGCTTCAGAAAAAGGTCTTGAGTCTTGAGACATGGTGCGAATGTTTATCGGTCAAAGGAAATTTAGTTCGCAAACTTCCGAGTTACGGACGAATGTCTTGTCACCATGTCAGCCACAGAGGCAGCAATAGCAGTTCGCAGGTGGACAAGTAGGGTCTGTGCTCTGCGGGTCCAGGCCTCAATGTAAGAAAAAATGCACCTGACTGCAACGAGAGCGCGGTTTTGATCAACAATTCCCGTCTCACTGCTACCGCGTGGCACTTTTGGGGGATCAGATCGGAAAAAAGAGCACGAGACTGTAGCAAAAGCTCGGTGTGCAGTCAAAAATGCCAAAAACTGTGGCGTTTGGAGCGCTTTTAGAAGATGAGGTCGGCAAGATGTGCACGAGACTGCAGCGAGAGTTTTTTAATGTTTATTCATTCATTCATTTCATTTCATTTCATTTCATGTCGTTTCATTTCATTTCATTCATTGCTTCGTGTCGCAGCAGCTTCAACTCACCACAATTTCTATAGTTTATCATCTTCCTAAATTAGTGCACCTTTTTTTCCTGGCATTTGCATATTTACCTACCTGCCTATCGAGCTATCTATCTACCCATCCAAATGGATGAAGTTCGGAGATGTTTTTTGCAATCTTGACATATAGACAAGACGTTGCAGATTGGGCACTTGTTTTTGGCACAATGATTCCCAATCAACATATATGTCACCAGTTTGAATCCCCGCGGGCCCTGTCCTCAGACTTGGCCTGCAGCAAGTGAATTTCATCGGCCTCACAATTCTCACATGGCTCACCCGCGGCAACCAAGGCAAGCAAGGCCACACATGCCACGCGCACGAACATAGAGAGAAGGAACTAGGAAGCGTGCCAAAAGGCGAAATCCGGGGTGCGCAAAACGTATGGTTTCAATAGCTGCTGGAACTCGAAAGTCTAGTTTGAGCCCAAAACCACACAGATTTTTTTAAATGCCGTTGTGGCAAGGGCCTCAAGTACACCTCACGTGCCTGTGTATGTCTTCCAGACCGAATTCATCGAAAATGATGGCACAAATGCCTTATGTTTCGGGCTTATGAATTCCCAACCCCTGAGAATGAACAAAACATGAGCCAAGTAAGCCAGTGTTCTTGCAATGCTGTACATACATATAAATAAATAAATAAATAAATATATAAATATATAAATATATATGTATATGTAAATCTATTTAGATATATATATATACATATATACATAATATATATATATATATACATAATATATATATAAATACAAATGTGAATACATATATATATATATATATATACATACCTATATATATATATATACATACATGAATATATTTATATATATATATAAATAAGAATATATATATATAAACAAATCTGTGAAGCCATCGGATACACCATAGCTTTACCAGGCGTAGCTATCCATCATGATACACAATCCCCTAGGTGTGGTTCATTGTTGGGCATACCCCTGCGTAAAGGGATAATGTACTTCATGGTCCCCTATTGTGGTGCTGGCCTTCTGCTGAAAGCTGATATTAACAAACTTTTTCGGTATGGTGTTTCCTGCAATGTTGCTTCAAAATTATGTACAACTGGGGAATTGTTGTGCAAATAAAAAAGGGATCTGACTTCTGAGATTGGAGGACCCACAAATATGTTGGTTCATCATCATTTTGCCTAAAAGATGTTTTTTTTGAGGGATACATCCTGTTTTCATCATTTCACACCCACACCATACATAATCACATCAAGCTGGTGTTGTAACCATTGAAACATCCCCATGACACATCTATAGATTTCCCTATTTGTGATGCTAAACCCAACATTCTCAAGTCCGAACCGACATCCTGGCGTAACCTTGCTGATTACCCGTGCCTCCACTGCGGCTTCCACCATGGGCAGCAGGGGCGACCATGCAGCGCCCACGTCAGGCTGCCCACGACCAGCCAGCAGCAGCAGCCTCAGAGCATGAGTAGAGATCTCCACGGGAGGTTTAAAATGAAATGTTGAGTTGGGCCAAAGCCCGGTCGTCTGCAGGAGCTGCCACTGGAAAGCCAGTTGTGGGGCGGTCTCCACTAGGATTGTCCTCTTCAGAAAAAAACATGGTGAAAATCGTCATGTTGGAGATTACCTTTTGAACGTGTGGACGTCCAGTTGCCACGTTTCACTACCGGAAGTTCAAGGATCCACGTGTCTGATATGAATAGGCCTGGTTTCCAATCAATCTGTCAATGGATGGACACATGCAGCAAGCCAGCATGATCTTTCAGGACGTTGTCTTGACTGTTTTCTGGAGGGCCAGCACTGCAAAGCGCCCAAAGCAAAGCAAAATGTACAAACATTCTCGGGGTGTATCTTCCCAACACTTCCCAAGCAGCAATGACAAGACAGGATGGGCACACCCTGCCAAGCAACTCAGAATACATATTAACGCTCGTGGCTGCATCCTGCACACGGACTGATCTGTGCAAAATGCAGGGGTTCAACTCATAGATACACGAGACATGTTTGTCTCTGCAGAGACTTGATAAGTGAAATAGTAAAGCACAACATTTTTTTTTGTAAACTTGCAATGCCTTCGGACCTTTGCAGGCTCTAGATATCCCTACAAATGTTACTGAAGTGTACATCTCGCATCTAAATCTACCATGAGGTTTAAAACTTGAAAGGTCTAGATATTGGCCAAACTTATGGTACCCATGAGCCCACCAATTGACCTAAATTCCGGTCATTTCAGGATCTGAAACCATCCATGTTTCGGCGATCAATGGTATGGACCCATGTAGCAAACCTGAAAATGATGGACAGCTGCTGGAAAGCGAGATTTTAATTTCTGACAAGACAATGGGTGTCGCTGTACCCACGTAGCCATAAATCACCTCAAGTTGCTTATCTATCCCATCATATCCCCACAAATCACCATGAAAATCCTTGTAAATCTCGGTGAAGCCACCCAGTGTCGGACACATCCACATCCTTGTGCTTAGTTAAGAACTATATCAATTTAATCTCACCTACACCCATAAGTATTCAGCTTTTCCTTGGTGAAGCCACAAATTTCTCAGCAGCACGGTGCCTTCGCTGCTGGCTGTGGCAGGCACCAGCCACAGGCGGCCTTCGCCACGTCGGAGGTTGCCAGGGCTACCTTGATTCGTTGGCCTTAGCTGGTCATGGCAGAAAACAATTGGGCAATCTATAAACATATATCAGCAAACTGGACATGATCTACTGAATTAATATTTCACACACATATGTTTATATAAATATGCATAAATACTGATGCAGCTGACTGGTAAATGTTATCAAAATAATATTTATATATATAAATACATATCATTACATATATAGTGACCAAGAGATGCAGAACTTGGAAATAAATCTCTCTCTATATAAATATAAATATATATATATACACATATAAATAAATATGTGCATATATTATTGTCTTCCTTCTGCTGGTTTCTAGAACCTAAACCACCTGCATCAAACACTTATCAAGAAAATAATTGGATAAATAGAAATATGTGCATGTATATGTATATATATATGCACACCAACATGTCATGCATATATATATATATATATGTATATATATATATTATACATAAATGCACAGAGAGAGACTTGAACATGGCTAAACATGGGCTCATGCCTTGGGAATTGCACTTGCTTCAACAATTTGCATCTATCGGAATTATGATTTGGGTTAGTGAATCTCTCAGTCATATCGCCCATAGGGGCTTCCTCAAATTTGCCAATACACTCATACATTGACCAGAAAAATTGTGATGCTGATCTGCCAGAGATGACGTGACCTGTCTGCCCAAAACCAGTTCAAGCCACATCAACAAAAACAAGTTTCTTTGCAACATACAGTAACCATGTCTTGCATGGGTTTAACCCACATTTTCATGAAAATTGGACCCTTCACTACCTTTGGTCGGCCCAGTGTCTCTGCAAAGCTTCCATGAAGCGCATGTCCTGCGGCCCTTCTTTGTCCGGGAAAGGCTGCTTCAACCAAGCGGCCCTGAAGCTGATCCAGTCACAAGCATTTCCCCAAAAAATCGTAGACTAGTTCAATCAAGTTCTTTCAAAAACTCCAGCTGGGCCTCATATGGAAAATATAAAACCATAAATTATCATATATATATACAGATATATTATATTATAAACCTACTATGTGGCAACTTTCACCCAACATCACACAAGTTTTGCGCCCACAATGGTCTGCAATCCACTGGTTCCACACGATAGTTCGAAGTCCCTCTTATTAGAAGCTGGTTGGTATTAATCCATCCAAAAAAATATTTGTCATCTCAACCAATCATCCAAAATATGGTTGAAGAAAAAAACGCAATAAATTTAAGTTTTTGAAACCAGTCAGGACAGGTTTTCCTTTGGTACCCCTTTCACCAGTGCCTGGTATAGGCGTGCGCGAAGCCATGCGCCCAGCGATCAGCTTTGGGCAGGGCTTCGGGCAGCTGCGGGTCGCGAACCCCGAGATCCACCCAGCGAAAGGTCCTGGGCACCATGATGCGCTGGAAAAGTTGCAACAGCCTGGCCGACTCTCCTGGTCAAACGTGGCTGCAAAATCCCCGAACTAAGTCGGGGTCAATATAAATGAGAGAATCATCCATGCGAGATTTATTACGGAGGGAACATCCATGATGATTTTCCAGGGCATGTTGCTGGCCAAGCTGGAGGGCAGCACATTTAGCACACCTGCGGCCATCCCAGTTCTTGTCCCAGTTTCTGGTTCGCCAGGGCCACCGTATGCCACATCTGCAGCGCCACGGCAGCTGCTTCAGACGGGCTGTGATTCACAGCGAGCAGTTCCTTGCGCATAGTGTCCAAGTAGTCCTCAGCATACCTCATCCATTGCTGGGCATGGTAAAATGTTGTTGGTTGATGTTGGGCAACACCAATAACAAACAATTGGCTGGAAAAGTGTTGGCAAAACGGAACCCGCACCTTCAAGATCTTTAAGAACACCAGGGAAGCAACAGGACGTAAACATTGAAGAAATCCATGTCTAATTTGCCACAGGGAAGATGCACCATGTTCTCATGATCGAATTCTGTGCGGATCATACATTTGCCGGACAGTTCTCTCAACAGCCCCAGGAGGGGCAACAGATCCGAATGGCTTCCCACCAGCTTGCCGGCCGTGGTGGATCAGCCATGATAGGCCGCTTTACAGCCATAAAAACGTAGCCACACCCATACCATGCCATACCCCAATTTTCGGAGACAGTGGCAGCTTGGAGCACCGAGCCGCAAGCAACCATCTTCCAGATTCACCAGCCTAGGGCGGCCCATCAAGATTAAACTTCCCCATGACCAAAAAACAAATCAAGGAATTTCCCCCAAAAATCAAGAAGGAAACTCTGACAAAACCTCCTTGAAACCAGCAAACCAGCAAAGGCGAACCGGGAATTGTTTCACCTCCACAACTCACAGTACTTTTCTGGCATGCCCCTGGCAGCTGGAAACCGAGGAACGTGGAACCTCTTGCCATCATACCTTGGTGCCAGTTGACACAACAGAGGACATGACTGGCTGCTGGGTGCTTGGGATGTTTGCAAAGCATCTGGAAAGTTGCATCGGCTAATTACACCATGAAACTACAACCTGCCGACCAAATCACAGCTGATGGAATTCCCACACATGCTGTCACGCGCAAACATCCAACAACAGGTTACAACCACACTTGCAAATTAGTCTCACATGTCTTCACCTACCCAATTTCCTTTGGACCTCTTATTCTGGGCCCCTTTCTTTCCTCAAGTGACAAAATCATGGTTTCGCCCAGCAGCACGCCAGGTTCCGCTTGAAGCCTTTGGTCCACCCCTCCTTCTTGACCTGCAGAGTTCGTCTGGTGGCGTCAGTAAACGTGACCAAAATCCGCGGGATCTAAATACATCCACGGATTTTCTCCAGACTTCACGCAGGTAACGGTTGGTAAGGGCTCAAGCGGTTTCTTGTCTACAACACGGATCGCAAAGTGGCTGAAGTGGGATCTGCTCACTGATGCTTGGGATCTACTGACTGATGTTTTGACTCATGAATCTAATGAATGCCCATGAGTTTCGACATGCCAAAAGCCGCTGCTGCATTTAGGCTGCATGATCATCAGCATGGACCAGCTCTACTTGGGCCTGAGCAGAACTATGCTGTACTTCCCCCCTTTCACGGGGGCCAAACCTAGGGGCACCTCGGTTGCAAAGGGCCGCTTTCGCGTCCATTCCGTGCACTCCATAGGGTCATCGGCACGCAGGACCTGATTTTGGCCGCCCAAACACCCAAGCCCAAGCAATCAATGTGCAAGTTTTCCAGGAGTCAAACAGAACATTAAACAACTGAAGCCATAAATAGCATGTTGGCTTGGCGGCCGTCTGAAACAAAAGTAAGAACATTAGCCAAATCAGTCGCTACAAATCCCAGTTATATAATCCCAAAATCACTGGGCGGTTCTGACACATTCCTCTCCCCTAGTAATAATTGCCATGGCCAGTTTCAGAGGCCATGCATTTCTTGAAGAGCTGGCTGGTACATAGCGACATAGCCATTTAATTTCAGTCATCCGTGGAAAAATACGAACGCATTTAAGATCATTGACAAGTATATGGTGTTTTTTTTCACTTGCTTTCTGGTTGTCCAACATGTAACATTGCTTTATAAATCTTTGGAATGCTTTCTAGATACATCTAGGTCCCATTTAGGTCGACGACTTTCCCAGCTATCAACCACTTTATGATGTGACAAAGTTGCCATGTGCCTAAATCGATGGGATATTCCATCTCCCTGAAACCATCCAGAAAACAAGGTGGATGCAAGGGATTTACACCGCTTAGCCCGAACGGGGGGTTGGACTTCCAAGGGCCAGGCCGATGAACAAATGGCATCCATCTCCTCCTCCGGAAGCCGAGGGGAGCCAGGCGAGAGCGACTCGGCCTGCCCGGGGACCGTCCAAGTCATGGCCTACCTGAGATTCAAGGTGAGGCCCCTGAGTTTTGTTGTTTTGTTATACCCCCCCATCAATACTATAAGATGTATTCTCCATAAACATACATAAACCCAACCGGTTAACGTTAACCTAGTTGTGTGCGTCAACTTAGCTATTGTTTCGGAGCCTCACCTTGTAAGGAGCAAATAGCTGTTTGATATAAAACCCCATCTGAACATATATTTAAGAGCAAGCAATTGAAATACAAATTAAACTGACCCATCCAAAGTTGAACCAGAAATGTGGATTTCACCAGCAAAGAAAAACAATTAAATATGATTAAGCCTGCCAAGCAAACACTTGAATACAACTACCAACATGTGAGACTACCAACATGTGAGGAATCAACCACCCAGGAAGAAAATACTAGGCATCAACCAAGGTCAAAAATGGATTGAACATCCAAGTAATGTCAAATCCCGACTTGCTGAGCTGATTGCTGGGCTGGGGTTAAGTCTTACAAAGTCAGCCGGTGACATTTTTTTAGCTGAAGGCATGTAAGCAAGCAGCAACTGCAAGAAATCTTCTCGACAGATGGAGGTATGTCTTACCCAAACCTGCAGGTTGATGGGTTGCTAGGTCCGAAGCTTCCAAGTCAACGAGGCAACCTAGTTAAACGTTGAAATCCGAGCCACAAGCAGCTTCGCAGCTTTCAGCTGTGACATTGAAACTGCCTTGAAGAAGTAGTAGAAAACCCTGGCATCTTCAGCCTTCCTCTCCAACATGAAGGCTGATGGTTCCTCATGGCAAAGAAGCAGCTGAGTTCTTACAACTTGGTGTGCCATCATCGCTTGGCACAATGATGGGCCCTGACTAGATGCATTGCAGCTTACAACTCAAATATACTCAAATCAACTTCCAACATCTTCCAACTGCCCTCAGTTTTGGGACGTGCCATCATCGCAAGGAATGCCCCTGGAATCATTGGCCCCTTGCTCCAGGATTCAGCCCCGCTGTCGATGATGATCAGCTCTTTGGCTTCATAGCTTTGTCGCCGGAAGTTCTCATAGAGCAGGGGGTGAAACGCCTGCCTTCGAATGCGCCCTTTAAACAAAAATCGCGCTGCACCACCCAGATTACTTGCTCGGAAAAAACTCCAGATGCCATGACTAATCTAGAAAGAACAACTCTACTAGCTCGTACCCCTGGAAAGAATGGCATGAACCATCAGGTTTGCTGAGACAAACATCGGCCCTTAAACCTTGAACCTGCCGTTTCACCAGACTTTACATCCCAGCGCCTGCCCTGGCTGGTCACACAAAGGGCTGACACCAAATGAGGATCTCCACAGAAACGATCTGCCGGAAAAGACATGATGAGTGGCATCACCAAAACTGGGTTTCGCCCAAATCCGACTCATGTTACTGTAGTTGCTGTTTTCAGATATTGAAAGTGACCTGCGTTTGTATGATCTGAGGGCCAGAAAAATCAGGAAATCGATGAAACACATTCAAGCGCACGCCCAAAAACTCAGAGACTATAATGGACTGGCCAAAGGTGCTTCTGGTGGAAATTCGAAAGCGAGATCCACAGCATGAATCATTCGCATTTTTGACTACCACAAAAATTGAACAGACTGACCCAAACAATGCCCAAAACAGTTGCCCAACCAGTTCTTACGACGAATCCGAAGCAAGCACGCGGTCCTTCATTGTAATCATCTTGCTCTGCTGGATTTCCTTGGCAAACATCTGAAAGACACACGATGGAGCTGCAATCCCTCCCCCCACGACCCTCCCCCTGCGAAACTGTCGTTTGGAATTGGAACAATCCCTTCCTCCCTGTAAAGAAGTACCCTAGCAAAGGACAAACAGTGGCCGCTTTCAGTCCAAGGCTCCGAAGGGCCCCAGGTCAAAGGATCGACCAGCGATGGCCCACAGGACCGCCACCTGGGGCTCCCAGTGCTGAGCTTCTGCAGGAAGGCCTGATGATTTGGTCAAGAGGATTCCACTGATTCAACCAACCCGAAATATTGGAATCATATTGGAATATCATGCGGATATCTAAGGAATATCATCGGTACCAAGACTGGATGTAAGGTTTACTAATATAACCAAAGGTGACTCCACCAAGACAAACGGTTTATTCAGGTTTGAGTCACCACCAACCACCAATAACACGGGCTTATTAACCAGCCACCATTGGGAAGGTCACCTTTGGGGGATGGACTACTGCAGGCCCTGACTTGGACAGCCGTGTTCACTCCAAACTGGAGCCTTTGCAAAGGAGACCAAAATGTTGCGACCTCAATTGTCGTGGCTCACATGAGGGATGGAACTATAGAACCATTTTCGCAACACCTCCTAGCCGTTTTTCCAAAGCAACCGAAGCAACCATCCCGCCAACCGGGCAAAATCAACAGCATCAACCCCCCGTCTACCACCACGCAGCTGCTCAAGCCTCTGGTGGGACGTCGCTGAATGCCCATCCGTTCAATCCAACGAGTGGCCACATCATACCTGAGGCTGGTGGCGTTGGCTAGCCGCTGTAGTGATGCCGATAGCTATGGACAGAGGTTATGGAATTGAGTTGAACATGAGTTCGAGTTTCTCAAGTAAGATCTCCTGCATTTACACCACAATGGTCTCTACTGCAACGACCAGCTTAGATCCACTTAGTGGGTGGCGGGAATCCAAGAAAATCGCCGAACTCTTGGTGTAAACAGGCCATCTCTCGTTCTCTCTCTCTCTTTTCTCCCTCAATGCCCCCGAGTATCCAGAATTCCTAAATTTGGTTGGTGGTTTAGAGATCGCCATCTTACCCTGCAGTTGATACCGCCATCATCCATGCATCATCATTACCTGAGAAAAATACACCAATCATTGCTGCGGTAAAAGACACCCCCACCATCCCTCCATACACTGGGGGTATCGTTGGATAATATTGATGAAGTTAAACATTCCAAACTATAAGCAATTAAAAACATGATTCCACCATATATGATATATGTCCTCCATGTTTGGTGACATTCACCGGCCAAGGTGCCACCTTTGCAGCTCCCGATGTTCCTCTCCCAGGCAGCCGCAGCGCTGGCACACAGCGGGAGGCTCCGCCACGCCGGCGGAGGGACGGGCACGTTCAAAGGTCAAAGGCCTCGTAAATGCCGCTGGACGTGGCATGGAAACATGTGAAAAAAACTAGTGGTTTCTGGATCTGGGGGTCTTGTGCCATTGGTGGAATTCTGGTTGTTTCACTGGCTTTCCCTTGAAAGCATGCGGATGCTGCCATCATACCCTTCAACTGGCAGACCTTAGGGCATCGGATCAACAACCAAATGCTGTTTTGGGTAAGTCCTTGTGATTTTACCATATCTTTCATTTTATCATACTAATTTCCTAGATAATGTATGGCCTCGACCCCGACAATGAAACCCAATGAAAACAACCTTCAGCCAGGGCAGCTTGACGACTGCCAAAAGAAATTTTCAATGCGTGCATCCAAGGACCCCTTGGTGATTTTGCAGGAATGAAGGGCCAACCCTAGGCATCCTGCTGTTGATTGGCTTTTTGCAACCTTCAGAACATTTCAGAACTCGAAAATTAAATGAAGTAAGTGAGTTCAGGACTTTCACGACTCTAGCATTTTCAGTGAGGGCATGACCCATGTAATAGGTGCTACGGGCCCTGGCGTGATCCTACGCCATTTACTAGAACTTGCGCCAGCCGCATGGCACACCGCTTACGCCAGACATCAATAATCTTCCGCCAGGTGGAAATCCTATTGGCACACCGACGGTCAAAGTGGACTAATTCTGAGGCAGGCAACTCAAATATATCTATTTAATTACTATGCGTTCAATGTACGCTTGTTAACCAAAAGTTGACAACCATATGCCGGATTGAACAGTCAGAACTATCATCCTCCGCATGGCACACCAAATTTCATGGCATTTCCAACATCCAAACTTGGATGATGATCGACGTTACATTCCTATGGTTTTTATGATCGAAGGAAGTTTAGAAGTCAAACTTCCCACAATATGGACAGATGAAAAGCAGAGCAGGGAAGAGGCAGAGAGAAGAGGAAGATTAGAAGAAAGAAGAGTAGAAGAGAAAGAGTAAGAAGAAAGAAGATGCAGATGCGCGAAAAGGTAGGAAAGTCGTGTTTTTTCAATGATTTGTGGCTCCGGAGGGTCGAAAAGTAGGCTCGCTAAAGCGGCGGGTGCGGAGCCAGCTGGCCAGATGAGTGATGAAAAATTGCACGCCGTTGTGGCGCGAAGCACATTTCGAAGTCAAAATGTACAAAACACACCACGTTCGGACCACTTTTGGAAGTTGCGATGTCGAAAAAGTGCACGCCGTTGTGGCGCGAAGCACATTTCCAAGTGAAAATGTACAAAACACACCACGTTCGGACCACTTTTGGAAGTTGCGATGTCGAAAAAGTGCACGCCGTTGTGGCGCGAAGCACATTTCCAAGTGAAAATGTACAAAACACACCATTCGGACCACTTTTGGCAAGTTGCGATGTCGAAAAAGTGCACGCCGTTGTGGCGCGAAGCACATTTCGAAGTCAAAATGTACAAAACACACCATGGTCGGACCACTTTTGGCAGTTGCGATGTCGAAAAAGTGCACGCCGTTGTGGCGCGAAGCACATTTCCAAGTCAAAATGTACAAAGCACTAGGGGTTCGGACCACTTTTGGAAGTTCAGATGTCGAAAAAGTGCACGCCGTTGTGGCGCGAAGCACATTTCCAAGTCAAAATAAAAACACCATCGGACCACTTTTGGAGGTTCAGATGTCGCTTCGCTTCACTACACTACATTACACTACACTACACTCCACTACACTACACTCCACTACACTACACTACATTACACAACACTACAACTACAACTACACAACTACACTCCACTACACACTAAATTACACTACACTACACTACATTACACTACACTACACTCCACTACACTACACTACATTACACTACACTGCACTACCTTCCACTACACTTCACTACATTACACTACACTCCACTACACTACAACTAAAACTACACAACTACACTCCACTACAATACACTCCACTACACTCCACTACACTAAAACTACAACTACGACTACAGAACTACACTCCACTACACGAAATTACACTACACTACACTACATTCCACTACACTACACTACATTCCACTACACTCCACTCCACTACACTACACTACATTACACTACATTACACTGAATGACACTGCACCACAGATAGACAGGTAGACAGGTAGACAGATAGACAGACAGACAGATAGATAGATAGATAGACAGGTAGACAGATAGTCAGAGAAAGAGAGAGAAAGAGAGGAGACCTCAAGCACCTTTCGGTCCATCAGTGGATTCGCTCTGCCATCCCTGATTCACAACAGCCAATCTCTGCTATAGGTTTCCTATTTTGAAACTTCCGCCAATGCCTTGTGCGGTACTACTGGTAAATTCTACTTTTATGCCAATCAACCGTTTCATCCACTTCCCCATGGCACACCGCTGATCGGATCGACTTTCTTTTTTCAGGTCATCTTCTTATGCTTTTGGTTTCTTCTGCACAGCTTCCAGCCCTTTCACAAATCTCTTGCTTCTCTGCCCAAAAACCGCGCCTTGCCCAGAAGCAGCAGCACAAGCAACAACAACAGCAGCAGCAGCAGCAGACCAAGCAGCAGACCATTGCAAAGCCTTTCCAAAACCTCTCCGGGCTGGGTTTTGACTGGCTGCAATTTAACGAGGTCGGAACGAGGTACGAACGAGGTCCGAAATCAAATTTTGGGAGCCTGACCCCCTAAGTCTCCTGACAAACTCTTTGGTAGCCACACGCTTTCGCATTCTTTTCAGAACAGTATAAAACTCAAGAGCTTTCAGCGGTGCAGCAGTGGAGCAGAAGAGGAAACCAAGCCAAGCGGCAGCTGCAGGCAAGAGCAAGGAGAGAGAAGAGGAGACAAAGAGCGAGTAAGGGAGACAAAGGGGAGACAGAGGGGAGACAAAGGGACGCAAGCTTGGCAAACAAGTATACAATTGCCACGACTTTCATCTTTGGGAGTATAATACTGGGTAAACTCAAAAAGATATGACAGGTAAGCATCGTGTGCCTATGCGAAGTGCCAAAAAATACATCAATAAGTTAAAGTCATAGGGGCTGCCCATGTGGGCCTTTCCCCATATAGGCACACCACGATTTGGCACAAGATCTTGTCATCGGCACTTGTTACAACAACCCAGTATAACGTTTTCCATGGGATGACCCGACCATCCAGCCCATGCCACCGGTCAACTCCGCCCAGCCTAGGCTTAGGTGGCTGGTAGCAGGCGCATTCAGCTGCACCGCCCCGTGGCACTCCCGCAGCATCAAAGTGCAGCACCGAAGCGTCGCTGCCATTGCCGTTCGGAAGTGTCATGACCCGACATGAGACGCGCCGTGGGGATACAATTTCATAAATTTCATAGCGTCAGCACACCAGGCTGATGTGATGCAAGTCCAATGTAGTCAAAAAAATGAAGGTTTTGTTTGGGCACGAGGCTTGTGAAAGCCAAACAAGATTCCAGGGACAAGTGGGCCCACCAAGTGGGCGGGCTGCAAATTGAATTCAGTGGCTGGCATGTTCAACCTCAAGCTGCTTTCATCTCCGACGCACGTCAAAACCTAAAATCCCATTTGCAGTTTCAAAGCAAGACATGGGCATGGTTTTCTATCTGAACCAAGGTCAGGAATTGATCACGGCACCCAGGGAAGCAACTCCGTGTCTATTTTGCCAGCGGGGAAGACGCATCATGTTCGCATGGTCGAATTCTATGCGGATCATACATGTGCCGACTTGCTTTCACAACATCTTAAAGAGGGTCAACAGGTCCTAATGGCTTGTCAGCAGCTTCCGACCGTCGTTTGGGTGACCGCATTTTGGTGGATCAGCCATGATAGGCGGCTTTACCACCGTAAGATATCCCGGCAAGAGACCCTAAACAGTGCGGGGGGGGTGGGAGGATAATGCATGATAATGTTGATGCTGATGTTGTTGATGTTGTTTATGTTGTTGTTGTTGATGATGATGAGGATGAGGATGAGAATGTTGCGGACAATGATGTTGAGGATGATGATGTTGAGGATGATGAGGGGCAGGAGGATGATGTTGAGGATGATAATGTTGAGGAGGATGATGAAAAGGATGACAATGTTGCGAAAAGGAGGTGGAGGATGACGATGTTGCGAAAGATGAGGTGGATGATGAGATGATAATGAGGATGATGATGTTGAGAATGATGATGTTGAGGAGGAAGAAGATGATGATGATGATGATGATGATGATGTGGAGGAGGAGGACCGGTCCCAGGACCGCGACAACCGATTTGTGCGAGCCGGCGCAATCGAAATGCACTTGGACAACAAGAGCCCGTTTATGCGAGAATTTACAGGTAAGATGCCGCAGACCAGATGGATCCCATGACCTTGTGCGAGCCTGCACTTGGACATAACACAACAGCCACTTTGTACAGAAATTTACAAGGAAAATGCCGCGGACCAGAACCGGGACACACACACTTTGTGCGAGCTTGCGCAGTCGAAATAAACTTGTAAGTTTCACAAGAGCAATTTTTACAGAAATGTACAGGGAAAATGCCGCGCCAAAAAACCGGGACACACACTTTTTGCGAGCCTGCGCAGTCGAAATGCATTTGAAGATTTCACAAGAGCCACTTCAGAAAATCCCACGCCCCAGCTGGAGCATCCTGACGGGACACGCACATTTTGCCGAGCCTTCGAAGTCGAAATGCACAGAAAAATTTCCCAAGAGCCACGTTATACGGAAATTTCCAGGGAAAATGCCGCGCCCAAAACCGGGACACACACACACACACTTTGTGCGAGCCTGCCCTGTCGAAATGCGCTTGGAGATTTCACAAGAGCCACTTTATACAGAAATGTGCAGGAAAATATCCGAACCCAGCTGGGGCACCTGATCAAGCACTCGCCTTTACCCTCAGTGTGGACACAGTGTTCCGGGAAAAAAAGGCCATACCCACACCATACCATACCCCAGTTGTGGGAGACAGGGACAGCGAGCCGTAAGCAACCATCTTCCAGATTCACCAGGCTAGGGTGGCACATCAACATCAAACTTCCTGATGACAAATCAACAAAGCATAGCAAAGCAACGAAATGCCTGCAGAAATCAAGAGGGATACTCCGATAAAACATACTAGAAACCGGCAAGTCAGCCTTTTGAGCCCGCCGGAAATCTAGAATCGAGAGTTATTTCACACTCGAAATCCGCTCAACTTCTCTGGCATGCCCCAGCCAGCTGGAAACCAAGGAACGTGGTGCAACAAAGGACATGAGACTGGCTACTGGAAACAATGTATCGACAAATAATTTCATGGGCTTACGCCATGAACTGAAAACCTACCGACCAAATCACAGCTGATGGAATTCGCACAGGTCCCTAGAAGCAGGTCAGAAACACACTGGACCAATCAATCTTCACGCGTCTTCACCTCCCCGGACTCTTTTCAATCTCTGATGACCTCTTTAGTGAGATTCCCTTCTTCCCTCAAATGCCCGATTCACAGTTCGCTCAGAAGCCTTTGCTCCATCCATCCCTCTTGACCTGCAGAGTTGAAGTTGAGTCAAATTTGGTCTGCGAAAGGGGCGGCGTTCTGGCGTCAGCAATACCAGTAGTACCCGCACGAGGAAGGAAGTTGCCTTAGGGATTTATACTATAAGACTTTTTCTCATCTATATAGAACTTGCATGCGCTGTGCGCCAGCCAAATCCGTGCGCGCGTGCTTTGTGCGAAGCTGTTGCAGTGTGTTGTTGTCCAAGAACATGACCCGCGCGCGACCCTGGTGCAATGCAACGCCAAGCGAAAACTTTCCTCACACTTCACACTGCACTCTTCACACTGCACACTTGCAGTTCACACTCCACACTTCATCTCATCTCAGATCATGTGAGCCCTTCTCACCTCATCTCAACTCTTCTCATCTCATCCCATCTCTTCTCACATGTCATCTAAGTAAGTTCTTCTCAGCTGCAATAGACAATAGTCTTACGCACGCAGCCGCGGAAACAAGTAGCAAAATAATATCGCCGGCGCCAAAATTGTGAAAATCTAGTGACATATCACTGTCGCAGCCTTGATGCAGCCACTCCATTACTATTTACGAGATCCAGCTGCAAAAGACATCAAAAGACATTAGTATTACGCATGCAGCCGCGGCACCAAGCAACCTTGACACAACCACTACAATGCGATCTGCAGAAACTGAGTACTACGCGCAACGACGTTTGAAATTGCATCTCCAAAACCGGATCTCGACGCCAAAGCGAAAAAAAGACGATTTTGAAGCACTTTTCAAAAGGACTTTTAAAAGGAAAATTGCTAGCGCCAAAATTGAGACGATCTGCTGACAAAACACTGTCGCAGCCTTGATGCAGCCAATACTGTTTGCGAGATCCAGCTGCAAAAGACAATAGTATTTCGCATGCAGCCGCGGCGCCAAGCAACATCGACGCAGCCATTACAATACGTTTTGCAGCATCACGTCGCAAACCTGCAAGTATATCTATACGCAAATGGCAACACCAAATGATAACAATCATGCAGCCATTCCAATGCGATCTGCAACCACACATTCAAGAAACGCATCGAACTACGCACACAGGATCAACCACTCGTTGCAGAACACAGAGGAGGAACCAAAACGACCCCAGCCGCACCTGCCGCACACAAGAGGTACCTTTCATCGCCGGCCGCAGCCACTTTACACGGAAAAACACAAGGTTTCGTGCTCCGGCTTCCTCCCCAAAACAATCCCATGCAACATTCATGCAGCCATTCCAATGTGATCTGCAACCCTAGATTCAAGAAACGCAAAGAACTACACACACAGGAACAACCACTCGTTGGAGAACACAGAGAAGGAACCAAAACGACCCCAGCCGCACCTGCCGCACACAAGAGGTACCTTTCATCGCCGGCCACAGCCACTTTACACGGAAAAACACAAGGTTTCGTGCTCCGGCTTCCTCCCCAAAACAATCCCATGCAACATTCATGCAGCCATTCCAATGCGATCTGCAACCACACATTCAAGAAACGCATCGAACTACGCACACAGGATCAACCACTCGTTGCAGAACACAGAGGAGGAACCAAAACGACCCCAGCCGCACCTGCCGCACACAAGAGGTACCTTTCATCGCCGGCCGCAGCCACTTTACACGGACAAACACAAGGTTTCGTGCTCCGGCTTCCTCCCCAAAACAATCCCATGCAACATTCATGCAGCCATTCCAATGTGATCTGCAACCCTAGATTCAAGAAACGCAAAGAACTACGCACACAGGAACAACCACTCGTTGGAGAACACAGAGGAGGAACCAAAACGACCCCAGCCGCAACCGCCGCACACAGGAGGTACCTTTCATCGCCGGCTGCAGCCACTTTACACGGAAAAATGCAAGGTTTCGTGCTCCGGCTTCCTCCCCAAAGCAAAGCCCATGCAACATTCATGCAGCCATTACATTGCGTTTTGCAGCATCACGTGGCTAACCTGCATCTCTCTACGCACATGGCAACACCAGATGACAACAATCATGCAGCCATTCCAATGCGATCTGCAACCACAGATTCAAGAAACGCAGGGAACTAACCACTCGCTGCAGAACACAGAGAAGGAACCAAAACGACCCCAGCCGCACCCGTCGCACACAGGAGGTACCTTTCATCGCCGGCCGCAGCCACTTTACACGGAAAAATACAAGGTTTCGTGCTCCGGCTTCCTCCCCAAAGCAAAGCCCATGCAACATTCATGCAGCCACTACATTGCGTTTCGCAACATCCCGTCGCAAACCTGCACATATCTACGCACATAGCAACAGAGCATGACAGCAATCATGCAGCCATTCCAATGCGATCTGCAACCACAGATTCAAGAAACGCAAAGCACTACGCACACAGGAACAACCACTCGTTGCAGAACACAGAGAAGGAACCAAAACGACCCCACAGCCGCACCTGCCGCACACAGGAGGTACCTTTCATCGCCGGCTGCAGCCACTTCACACGGAAAAATACAAGGTTTCGTGCTCCGGCTTCCTCCCCAAAACAAAGCCCATGCAACATTCATGCAGCCATTACAAAGTCACCACTTCCCAAAGTCACCCTTTCGTCACCACTTCCCTTCGTCACCATTTCCCATCGTCACCACTTCCCAAAGTCACCACACTCCCTTCGTCACCACTTCCCAAAGTCACCACACTCCCTTTGTCACCGCCTCCCTTCGTCACCACCCTGTGTCATAGCCTATTATTCTTTTGTGATGTATTGTTATGTGATGTCAAGCCTCACACCGCCCTTGTCATAGCCAATTATTCTTTTGTGATGTATATTGTTATGTGATGTCGAGTCTCACACCGCCCTTCATGAATGTCAAGTCTCACAATTCTATTTGTCCGTAACACGGAAGTATTGCTTCCCAACTTACTTTGATCAAAATCCGTAAGATTCCGTAAGTACCCATGTTTTGTGTCGTCTGCAACATGGATCACAAGTGGGACCTGCTCTGGATGTTTGGGGAATGAAAAAAGAACACAAATAATCTGAAACCTTTTTAAATGAAAAGACCGATGGGTGACAACATGCCAAAATCCACCGCTGCAGTAGTTGGGCCATCAACATGGACAGGCCACTTGAAATCTTCTATATACTTGCCTGAGCCTAACCAAACCTGTGCTGCACTTCCCCCACAACACAGGGAAGCACCTCGGTTGCAAAGGGCCGCTTTCACGTCCATTCTGTGCACTCCATAAAGTCGTCGGCACGCAGGACCTGACCCAAACAATTTGCATAATTTTCCAAAAGCCAACTAAAAGGATTACCATCTGGTAAACGAACAGAACTATTGAACATTTCCATTTATAGCTGATTTATCTATTAAACACGCTGATTTTCTCTTAGTTTACTGAGTTTACTGGAAGGTAAACGAACAAAACAATACAGTCTGATGGAACGTGGGCTTGGCATCCAAGACATAGTAAAGAGCACATTCACCAAATCAGAAACTACAAAGCCCAGTTAAAATCCCATAGTTTCTAGGCTTCCCTGGCAAGTGGGGCACAAGAATGAAGACATATCCAGAAGAGTACTACCAGCGGCTCTGGAGGACATTTTCTATCACGAAAAATTGCTGCCGTGTTGCCCCATAGCTTGGAGAGATCCTGATCAGTTCGCTGGTGTGCTGCACAGATCTGCACAGGAATGCGGCCCACCACCTCAAAAAACAAGGGGCGAGGACACAAGAGGGACGAGGAGCGAAGAAGCCTTGGCAAATGACACATTCCATACAATCCGACCTCTCTTTCTCTCTCCCTCTCCTTCTGGGCATAAAGGCCATGAGCACTTTTTTGCGGATTGCTTCGTTTGGATGACTGTATGGTCCCGCACTCACACTCCATGCAAGGCCCATCTGCGAATCTAATTCTGTTCTTGTGCGTGAACAGAAAAAACAACAAAAGTTCTCGCACCCGCGAGGCTGTGGAAGACATTTTGCTCCTCGCTTTACAAGGCAATCCTTTAAGCAACTCAAAAAAGAAACGGCAGGAGGCAGGGGGGAAAAAGACTAGCCTTTGACCAGTGACAACATAAGGCACTGAATGGCTTATTGTACATGTACCAAATCTTATGTGTAGTATGTGTTCACAGTGTTTTAAATTGCAAAGCAAGCAGCCTCATCAACCGGAACCTACATGCATGTCTGAGGGCTTCTTTGCGCACTCAACCTATCACCATGACAGGTCCTTTGGAACTGGCACGGGTCCACCCGTCTTCTTCTTATATTCTTTCCCGTCAGCCTTGAAGGACTCTTGGATTGTCCTCTCAAATGCCTCTTCCATCTCACTGCATGGAGGTAACTGCACGAAGACCTTGCCATCCTCAACCTTGGCGTTGAAGGTTGAAAGGTTGAGGTTTGGATTGCTGATGCCCTCACCGGTCTGAAGGTTGTAGGTGGTCTTGTAGATAGGGTCTGCCACGGTCAAGGTGCCATTGGGCTGGACTCCCACCAGCCCACGAGAGATACTCAGAGCTTGCCTGTGGGGGCACAGATTCTGTGTGGCCAACCACTGTTCCTCTGCATGTGGGAGGTGGAACACTGCCAGTTCCTGCGTGCCATGCTTCACACTGAGCCCACCATTCTTGGGATAGGCACTCACCAGTCCAGCAAAGATCCAGTCCCAGCATTCGCTCGCCTTCTCCTTTCCGTAAAGTGCTGGGCCAAGGATGTCCGGTGGGCTGTACAGGTTGGGATGGCGCTGACCTCGCATGTCAATGTACTCGATCTGTTCTGAATCATGGAGTTCATCTGTGTTCGCAAATTGCTTGAACTTCTTGCGCAGTTCCTCATCGTATGCCACCTCCTTCCATTCACACTTTTCATGGCTTCGATTGCGTCCCATCATAGCCTCCAGGTCAGCAGCTATGCCTAGAGAATCCTCAATGACAACCTTCTTCAGGTAGTCAATCCCACCCTCCAGTTCAGCCAACCAAGGGGCTGTGCGCTGCAAATGCTTGGCTGTGGAGATGTAGTACATCAAGAATCGATCGACATATTGCAAGCACTGCTCAACCGAGCAGTCCGTGGCCAAAAGCTTGGCATGTGCTGGCTTCGCTCCACCATTGCCACATACAAAGAGATTGTATCCAGCCTGGGTGGCGATGACGCCTACGTCCTTCCCCTGGGCCTCGGCACACTCACGCAGGCATCCAGAAGCAGCCATCTTGATCTTGTGAGGTGCACGAAGACCTTTGTAGCGATTCTCCAGGGTCACGGCCATGGTCACTGAATCTTGCTGGCCATAGCGACACCAGCTGGTGCCCACACAGCTCTTCACCGTGCGCAAGGCCTTGCCATAGGCTTGGCCGGTTTCCATGCCAGCATCCACCAACTCTTTGAAAATGTCAGGCAAATCATGGACCTTCGCCCCATACATGCCCAATCGCTGAGCACCGGTGATCTTCGTCCAAAGGCCATACTTCTTGGCAGTGGTCGCAAAGGCAATGAGAGTGTCAGGGGTGATGTCCCCTCCTGGGCAGCGAGGGATCACAGAATAGGTTCCAGTCTTCTGGATGTTGGCCAGGAACCGGTCGTTGGTGTCCTGATACGACGTCCAAACCAACAAAATTACATTACCACGTGTAATTCCCGTCCTGGCATATATCTTGATACATATCTTACATGCTATCTGGCATATTCTGACAAACTATTTGACATCTTCTCTGGCATCTTTCTGACGCAGTACCTGGCCTCATACCTGACCTTCTGTCTGACGTATTTTGACAATTAATTTGACATTCTATCTGGCATTCGTTTCTGACATGTATTCTGACATGCTATCTGGCATTCTAGGGGGCATTCCTTGCTGACGTATATTCTGGCATTCTATCTGACATATAATCTGACATGGTATTTGACGCTTCAACTGATATTCGATCTGACAAACTTTTTTCGGCAATCTATCTGGCATTCTATCCGGCATATATTCCGGCATTCTCTCTGACATATTTTCTGGCAGTCTATCTGGCGTACGTTCTGGTATTTTATCCGGTATTCTATCTGACATCTATCTATCTATCTATCTATTTATCTATCTATCTATCCATCCATCCATCTATCTGGCATTCTTTTTATCTGGCCTGTACTCTGACATTCTTTCGGGCATTCTATTTGGCATTCTGTCTGGCATCTATCCTGACATTCTGTCTGGCATCTATTCTGGCATTCTATCTGGCATTCTATCTCAGAACCTCACGGAAGCCTTCCAGAAGCCTCCCCCAACCTCCCAGAGGCTCCCGATCTTTCGCACAAGCTCTCAAAGCTCCCAGAATTCAGAATGTCCACCTCAGGCCCATTGATCCCACAGTCACGACAAGCTGGCAGAAGGAGAAGGCAAAAAGAAGGCGGAGATGAGGACGAGGAGGAGGAGGAGCAGAAGAAGAAGAGAAGAAGGACAAGGAAGAGAAGAAAATGAAGAAGGAGAAGAGGAGAAGAAGGAGAGGAAGGAGAAGAAGGAGAAGAAGGAGAAGGGGCTAACTTTGTTAAAATTTAGAGACCCTCACCTGGTAGGTGGGAAAACAGGTCTTAAATCCATGCATCATACAACGACAAACCTTTAGCCAGATTTCCCGACAACATGGACAGCTGAGTTTCAAGATATTTAATGCATATATATATATATACTTGTCGACAGAGCAACATCTACGGCTCTATATTTGCATATATTTGCAAAGATGCTGCCAAGATATTATTTTTTGGGCACTTTTCCTCCTCAATCGACCACGGCCGCTTCTCCTGTCCCTTTTTTGCTATTCTTTCATTTCCGTTTCTTTTCTTTACCTTTAGCTTATGAACAAGCCAGCAGAAAGCCAGACCTATCGTGTTACTTGGGTGTTTTGTTCCCAAGCGAGGGTCTCTCTCTCTCTCTCTCTCTCTCTACATATATATATATAATATAAAAATATACATATTATATCTATCTATCTATCTATCTATTAATTAAAATAAATTATAGTGTGTATATATATATATATAGATGTAGGTTTTAGCAAAGATGCAACTCCTCCTCTGCCAGCTCATCGTGACTGTGGGCATGAACGGATCCAAGCCGCATCGCGAGCGCTGAAGGCAGTGGGCCACGCTGGACCCGAACTCGATATCGCGAGCTCAGGATGCAGCGGACCGCGCCTCGAACCGAACGCATGCCAGAGAGGATGTCAGAGAGAATGCCTGGAAGAATGTCAGAAAGACTGCAGAATAGATGCCAGAATGACTGCCTGAATAGTTCCTGAATAGATTCCGTATAGAAAACCAAATAGAATGCCAAAATAGATGCCAGACAGAATGTCAGGATAGATGCCAGATAGAAGCCAAATAGAATGCCCGAAAGAATGTCAGAATGCATGCCAGAAAGTATGTCAGAATAGATGCCAAATAGAATGCCAGAAGGAATGTCAGAGTATATGCCAGAAAGCATGTCAAATACAATGCCAGGGTTATGCCAGAAAGAATGACAAATAAAATGTCAGAAAATATATGTGCCACCATAAATTCATAAATAATCATATTTACTTCCACATGATATGTCAGAAACAGGAAGTAAGGTAATTTGCATATATGTACTTGTTTAATGATTCAAATGAAATCATGCAATAGCTGGTTGTCATAGCAAGATATACTCTCATCATCGATATGTTTCTTTTGTCATTGATTCGTTGTCTTTTGTCATGGTATGGCGACTGTATCTCCTGAATCTGATCTCGTCCCGCTTTCAAGGCATGATCGTTCCAGAGACCTGACAGAATGGAGGCCACCACGGGCTTGCACAGCTCGCAGCCATCTGGCGAGCCTTGGCCAACTGCGGAGAGGATCTCCTCCAAGGACTTGAGCTCTTTGACCTTGACGATATCGAAGAGCTCCTTCCTGGAATACTTGAAGTGAGAGCAAATGCCAGAAGCACCTGCTTTGCCGAGCTTCTTCAAGGTATGCGCCAGGAGCTTGGGTACTTCACCAACAGGTGTGCAGCATCCACCACAGCCAGTTCCTGCCTTGCAGGCCTTTTTGATGAGTGGAATCGTGTAGGCTTCCATGTCGATGATGGCATTGCGAACCTGACCCTTAGAGAGCGCCAGGCAAGTGCAAATCAGATCATCATCCGTCATGCCAGTACCATCCCCACCATCTGCAACTGCACTGCTGGCGCCAGGCGGTGGCAATTTGAAGGCCAGAGCCACTGGATCGTTGCCAGCAAGGTCATCCTTCTTGCTGAGCTGAAGCAGCTTGGAATAGTCCTTGGCATCTCCAATCAAAATGCCACCCATGAGCTTGGAACCGTCTGCAGAGAAGAACAGCCGCCGGTATGTGTCATTGAGATCATCCTTGCTTTCAATGACTTTCAGGCTTGGATCCTTCCCAGAATACTGGCCCTTAAACCAGAAGTCAGCACTGCGGCCAAAGGAAGCAACCTCAACACCCAGAAGCTTCAGCTTGGTGCTTAGGTCGCTGGCCAGATACTCAGGTGCCTCCGGCTTCCCCAGCAGCTTCTGCGCCAAGGCTTCAGCTTGCTCAACGCCTGGAGCCCATAAGCCGTAGCACATCTTGCCGTCAATAGCTGCAACTTCTCCAATGGCATAGATGCTGTCATCGGAGGATTTCAAGCCAGAGTCCACCTTGATACCGCCCCTGACACCCATCTCCAGGCCACATTGTTTGGCCAACTCGTCGCGCGGGCGAATGCCACATGAAACAATCACAAGATCAGTCTTCAGGATGCTTGATGACTCCGCTCCCTGTTCAACTAGCTCTATGCCTGCAACTGTGCCAGCCTCGCACACCACACGCTTGATTTGCACACCGCAATGCACATGAACACCCAAATCCTTGATCTTTTTCAGCAGAACCTGACCAGCAACATCATTCAATTGCGTTGGCATCAGGTATGGCGCCATTTCCAGGACATGGCTTTCCATTTTGAGATCGTAGACAGCCTTGGCGGCCTCCAGTCCCAGCAGGCCACCACCGATGACCACGGCACGCTTGGCACCTAACTTCGCCTTCTCAAGCAGTGACTCAAGGTCTTCGATGGTGCGGTAGACGAAGACCCCCTCTGGCCTTGAAGCGGGATCATCGGGCCAGTTCACATTCTTCTTCTCTGGAATCGTCATTCCGGGCACGGGAGGAACAAAGCAAAAGGAGCCGGTGGCCATCACCAAAATGTCGTAGCCAACCATCTTTTGATCAGCCTGGGGACTCATGTAGGACACTGTTTTGGCTTCTCGATCGATGGATATTGCTCGGCCATAGAGGAGTGTCACCTTGAGCTCCTTCAACTCCTCCTCGGTCACATATGATAGCTTCATCTTGTCATGTTTGTCACCATCCAAATCCTGGAAGTATTGTGTGAGCATGACTCGGTTGTATGCCGGCCGTGGCTCTTCGCAAAGGACTGAGATCTGGTAGTCGCTGCTTCCACTTCTGCCCTCGGTCATCTTCTCAATGAAAGAGTGCCCGATGGGCCCATGACCGACCACAAGGATAGACTTTGCCATGGCGCCGGTCTCGAATACGAAGACCAACAATTATGAGTTAAGGTGTTGCTCTAACACGTTTTTGGCAGGCTCTTTAAACGATTGTGTACTGCTATTTTTGTCATCTTGCAATGTCTCGTGTACTGCTATGTTTGCTCTCGTGTTCTGTTATTTTTGCTCTCGTGTTCTGTTATTGTTGCTCTCTCGTTCTGTTCTTTTCGGGCTAGTGTACTGCTATGTTTGCTCTCGTGTTCTGTTATTTTTGCTCTCGTGTTCTGTTATTTTTGCTCTCGCGTTCTGTTATTTTTGCTCTCGTGTTCTGTTATTTTTGGGCTAGTGTTCTGTTTTTTTTTTGCTCGTGTTCTGTTATTATGCTCTCGTGTTCTGTTATTTTAGGGCTCGTGTTCTGTTATTTTTGCTCTCGTGTTCTGTTATTTTTGGGCTCGTGTTCTGTTATTTTTGCTCTCGTGTTCTGTTAGTTTTGCCCTCGTGTTCTGTTATTTTTGGGTTCGTGTTCTGCTATTTTTGCACTCATGTTCTGCTGTTTTTGCTCTCGTGTTCTGTTATTTTTGCTCTCGTGTTCTGTTATTTTTGCTCTCGTGTTCTGTTTTTTTGTGCTCGTGTTCTGTTATTTTGGCAAGTCCTATCTCAAGAGAGCAAACGCTACGCAATGGCACTTTCCTTCAAACCAGAAAAAACGTCAGCAGTCCGTAGTTCAAAAGAAACCAACCAGAACACAATAGCATGAGCATATGCAGTGTATCCGCCAAGTGCCCATGAAGGATAACATCAAGGACAACAAGGGCCATGAGACCATGACCTCTGTTTCTTGCATCTGCACTTCCAAGTCTAAAGCAATGAGGGCTGGGCTGTGCAAAACGCCACCAGCAGCGCGTTTAACCTTCAACAGCCTTGGTTGATGAGTTATTCCCCAACCAGAGTAGTCCTTGGATTTTCAGCTTCATTGCATGGTCGATACAGTACCTATCAATGTCCGAATCTTCTTCCAAATCTCCAAACCTCCAATCCCACAATGTCATTGATGCAGAGTTCAGTTTGCAACGGTTATGACTCGAACATTTTCTCAGAGGCGTTCATTGACTGTGAGAACCAAAGCAAGCATGGATCCATGGATTCGGAAATCGTAGTAAGCAAAGAAAGCACCAATCCAACAAAGTCAGCTACATCAAGTCGTGTTTTTCGAGTTCCCCAGCGTGGAGCGGCTGAGCTCAGCAGGGGTCAGGCCTGGAGCACACCATGCCTCGAAACTGACGGAGTTGTGCTGGGGAGTGCCAATAAACATCGCAGGCAAACTCATGGTCAAGGAATTTGAAAGGGATTTCTTTAAAAAACCGGCGCAGAATAGAATGTTTCAGGCACATGATTTCCTCAACTCATTGGAGGGCCACAATGAAATTCATCCTCAGCAAGATGAGTCCGCTGCACCGGCGAGATCGGGGCATCAGAACATTTCAGAACTGGAAAATTAGATGAAGTAAGTGGGTTCAGGACTTTCACGACTCTAGCATTTTCAGTGAGTGCATGACCCATTTAACGGTGCTAGCATTTTCCATGCGATGACCTGGCCATCAAGCCCATGCTACCGGTCAACTCCGCCCAGCCTAGGCCTAGGTGGCTGGTAGCAGGCGCATTCAGCTGCACCGCCCCGTGGCACTCCCGCAGCATCAAGGTGCAGCACAGAAGCGTCGCTACCATTGCCGTTCGGAAGCGTCATGACCCGACATGAGACGCGCCGCTGGGATACAAGTTCATAGCGTCAACACACCAGGCTGATGGGATGCAAGTCCAATGTAGTCAAAAAGATGAAGGTTTTGTTTGGGCATGAGGCTTGTGAAAGCCAAACAAGATTCCCGGGACAAGTGGGCCCACCAAGAGGGCGGGCTGCCAATTGAATCCAGTGGCTGGCATGTTCAACCTCAAGCTGCTTCATCTCCGACGCTTGTCGAAACCTAAAGTCCCATTTGCAGTTTCAAAGCAAGACATGGGCATGGTTTTCTAGCTGAACCAAGGTCAGGAATTGATCACAGCAAGGTGATTAAATCATGATTGCTATTTGATGCTAAGTTGGTGGTTCTGAACTGTTTACTTGAAACCACGGGAATTCCTCCATCCAGCCCCGAACAAAAAGCGGGAGGCGCACCCCCAAGTAGCAGAGGTTGCCGCCCCGTGAGAAGCTGACCAGGCGTCCATCCACCTGACCCTCTGAGACCTGCTGAGGCCATCGAGGAGAACATTGGGTCAGAAATGAGTTGCCTTACGATGTTCAAGGTCTAGTTGGCCTCAGAAAAATGTGCGATATCAACATGTGTTTGAGGGGTGGATTTTTTTGGGGGAAGTTTTCACATTGTTTCTGAATGATTTTGATGAATGGCGCCGAAAAAACCTCTATGGCTCCACATGGAGAACCCTTTGGTTTCTTGGACCTCGTCCATGACATATGCTGCGCCCTCGGGCTTGCTGCATGCCAGCCGGTCCATTGAACCATTTGCCCCCTCCGCATGATATGACACACCAACGCTTGCAGTCAAGAAAAAATGCGTTGAAACAACTGAACAAACAAACTGTACAGCGACACCCCCCCAAAAAAAAGTTAAAGGTAAAGTCCCACTACATGGTGAAAAATGACATCCAATAACTGTTCTATGTTTCTTTTCGAGTTGCTATAGATATAATGTGCTTCGGATACCCACCAGTCGCCCCACGGCTCCTGGGATGTCGGAAAGAGATCATCCACGGCCAAGTCCAGCCACCTTATAGCTGCGCTGGATCTGGTTTATCTGGGTGTTTTCCCGTTTGGCCACCTGGAGTCCCAAAATATTAATCAGTAAAATGGGATCATGAACCAATTTTTTAGGGATACCCTCTGGTAAACTAACAAAACTATGGAATATCACCATTTTTAATGGTAAAATCAACTATACATGGCCATTTTCAATAGCTATGTTAAATTACCAGAGGGTATCAAGTCTCATAAAAGACTTTGGACGGCCATTTAAAGATCTATTTTTACAAATGATGCCCAAGCTATCAACATAAACTATCAACATATACTATCCACCTGAGAATGGGTATCTCATCTAATTACCTATCAATCAATCTATCTATCCATCCATCCACCCATCCACCCATCCATCCATCCATGTACATGCGTGTGCAAATGTTATCAGATATGCCACTAGAATGCATGTATGCACACACACACAGAGACACACACACACACATACACACACGGATATGTATATATGTATACATGTAAATATAATATATCTATATACATGTACGTATATTTCATGGACATGTATACACAGTGGGCAGCACTTCACCACCCCCATGTGCTAAGACCTGCTGAGGCTGTGGCTGTCCCGCATGGCACAACCGCAGGTGGTACACGCCATTGGGGTTCAACTCCTAACAAGGCTGAGACGTACTGTCTTGGTGTCGGGCTGTGGCACCGCAACCGACGTTGGCTGGACATATGCCGACATATGCATAGCAACAATGGCTGACTTACGGCCTCAGCAAAGAATATGCTATGGTTATTTTGGGATTGCAACATTCGGAGAACTTGACTTTTTCTCGGCCATACTTTGGTTAAGGATATGAAACCAACCACTTTAGGCACTGGTACTGGTACTTCTACTTCATGAATATATTGAAGGGAACCTTCTATTGCAGCACTTTGAGATGTCTAGGGTACTCTTTTGGGGCTTGTGCATGCATCTTGCATCCCTTCGGCATGATCGAGGGCGCGTACTTCTTTGCACTATGTATCAAGCTTAGATTCTACAACCCTTGGCATCTCCAATGTGAACCCGGCACCCCCAAGACATCATACAGCGTGACTGTGCCCGTGTGTTTTTTTCTTCGGCGCAAGTTTGGTTTCTTCGCCTCAGAAAACGTCAGGTGGAATGCAGCAAGTGTGCCCACAGAATTGGGGTGGGATGAACCCAGCACATCTGGAATGACATCGTCAAGAATGACGCTGATTTCTAGTCAGCCACTTCCTCAACCATGATCAATCGATAGTCAATAGATAGCTGTGACATGGTGTGACCATGACCCGAGCCCCGCACTTTTGGGCCCCCAAACAACTCATTGCTGCCGACAGTTCTCCCGACACTGTTCCACGTCTGGGACAGCTGCCTAGAGCTGCTTGGCGAATGGGGAACCGAGGAACCATGGCAATCCCTCCATCACCATTCATCATGCAATGTGGTGGTCAATAAGTAGCTAAGTTGGTTTTAGTAAATAATATGTAAATAAATATATATATATATTAACTATTATACTTAAACGGGTTTAGAAGCCAACTTATAACATCTTATAACTGGGGGTCACCGATCTGGTATCATCTCACATCCAGTGCCTATGGGGCTCTCATCCAAAACACAAATCATTGCAAATCAACCACCCATGACTTCATCCATCACATGTTCTGTATCCTATATTTCAATCATTAGTGGGGTGTGGGCTGCCAAGCTGTCCGACAGTGTCTGGTACTTTCACCCTGTCTCGAACATATGAGTCTATGAGTCGAGTGGTGCGATCATCCCATTTTGCATGGAGAAAAGGCATGAAAAGGCAACATGTTTGAAACATTTTGAAACTACATCAAGTGGCACCTCAGTTGCCATGTTCAGTATGTTCAGCTGCCATGTTCGCTGATGAGTTCCCTATCTTATCTGAACACACCACCAACACACAGCCCAGTCAGGGATCCTCGGTGAACCAGTTTCTGCCGGTGATCTGCCCATCTCGTGACTCGTAATCTCCGGGGATTCCTGGTTAAATCAACTTTGGTGAAACCACCCACCAATGCTATCACCCACTTTTTTGTTTATAACCCAATCTACTTGACTTCACTTACTCTCATGTTTAAGCTTTTGTTGGATATCATACTGGCCACTGGGCCACCACTCGGGCATGAACACGATCCCATTCTCAGCCCAATCTTCTCCCCAAGCAATGGGACTTTACATCAATATCTGGGCCCCAAACAAAACCGAAAACCAAACGGTATGGATGGTGAGTTAAGCTATACTGCTCCACATATTTCCACGATGTTCCCAGTCTATGCCCATTTTTCCACCCTTTTTCCATTGTTTTTTCCGAACATCTGCAGCCTCCGTGCAGGCGTCAAGCCTTCCCTTGGCTAAATCTAGGAGCTTCGACCTCAACAAATGCCCGTGGAGCTTGTTTTCAGAGGTATCTCTCCAAGGGATTTTAATCCTCATAAGATATCATAATAACTTATCATCAGATGGGATATAACATGATATAAGTCCTGGAGCGGTGAACTCTAAACCACTTATAGCTGGAACTGCACCTGACCACAGAGTTTTTTTGGAGGCATGAAATGCCGTGGAAAAGTGGTAAAGAAATACATATGGAGAAACAGAAGGAAATGGATAATGAAGTGTCGAAAAAATGGGATGGAACATCTAAAACAAGGAGTTTGAAGGTAAAATATTGTAGAATTGAGCTTTGACCCTTGAACAAACATCCCGAAAGAAGCAACATTGACATGCCGTTATGAAGATTCTAATCGTGGTTGAACCTGCCCAAAAAATGTCTGCAGATGCCTGTAGATAAAGCGGACATACGTGTATGTATTGTATTCTGTCCGTATGGGAAGTAGACTGCTACAGGGTGTTCAGCTATTGAGACTAGTAAATGCACACACTAGAACCCATTCGAGATAGTTTGATGTCAAAACTGTATTTACAGTACTACGAGTATACACCTTAGGGAAACCCCCCAAAAAAGATACCAGTAAACTCCTACTAAAATGTTGATGCATTACTTTCTATCTTTTTGACGATTACTATAGTAAAGTGAATATAGTGAATCTAAATGTGCATTTCAACTCAGGTATGTTGTGTAATCGCCGGGCATCCCAACACCTCGTTGCGGAAGGAGTTGGGCAGTACAACACCATCCTTACCACCAGATGCTCGGCCTGCAGCGGAAACTCCGGCAGAACGGCCACACTGCAGTTGATGGAGTCCCAGTTGGCCATGGGTGGAATTATATACGGCTCTTTCTATTTGCGCACATGAGATTGCACCAAATAAAATTAACAACAACTGCACCCTCCAAATTCCATATATTACAAATAAACGAAGAAACAAATAAATAAACAAATGCATACATATATGTTATTATATATATATATGTAAATTATATAAATATCTATATACACACATATACACATATATGTAAAAAAAAGGTGGTTATGAATTTAAGTGTCTGCCTTTATCTTCCATCACTTCTTGGACCATCCCAAGAGCTAGAGCCAAATGAGCCATGGCCATCTCGACAAGGATGCCCCCTTCAGGATGTGCCCTGTGGGAAACGCTAAGGGCTGAACAAAATGGCCATGTTAAACAGGCAAGTCATCTACACATGGTGAATTCTTCGCCATGTGGAATTGCCAGAGGCTCCTTCCCGGGCTCGGTTCCCGGTATGTTTCAATCATCCAATCCCCCTAACATTCAACACCCCCATTCCATGGGCCCAGAGAATTAGGTGGTTTCATCCCCTACAGTTCCTGCCGGCTGTTTCACATTAGGATGGGGAATGAAATTAGTCGTCATGTTAAACATGAAAAAACACCATTCACTATAATTTAATGTCACCAACTTTTTTCATATTTAACCAATGATAATCACATTTGCCCACGATAATTTCATAATTCATTCACATTTCCAAGGAAAACCAGCCATGCACCATTAAAATAATAGGATATGATTCATTATTTTTTAAAAATATGAAGCACCATTAGAATCCGATTATAATCCCATTAAACCCAGGGATTCCCCGGCCATTTTTCGGTGAAAAAAAACAATCCCTCCTTCTCGACATGTCCCGACCGGGTCCCGACCTGCCAGGGCCACTTCCAGGTGACGAATCGCCTCTTTGGAACGACTCGCGCTGGGCGCCATGCCCAGCACCGCGCAGCCTAGCAGCGAGCGTAACGTTGATTGGTTGTTCAAGAATAAAAAACACGTTAAACCAGGTAAACACTAATATCTTAAGTTATTTTTTAAAGTTATATTTATACTAATATCTGTAAATAATATAAATTCATTGCTGATAGATGCGCGTCCTGCCTGCACCAAACTGGAGAGCTATTTGAAAGAAAGACGTGGTCTTGATTTGGCCAATCCACAATAATTTCAAGTTCCTTTGACATGAAAAACAACCTGCAGATATCACCTAGCAGATTCGTATATATCACTCAGTTCTCAGCCTCGTCGGTAGTGAGCCTTCCCATTGGTAGGGTCCTCAGTTGTGGGTTAAACCACTCCTCCGCAAACATATTTGGGTATGGATCAAAATTGAGTACCCTCCAGCAATCCCACCTGTCCATGCAAAATCAACAGAGGATTTTGCCATTGCGGGGAGCATCTCCTATGAAAATTGTAATTTGATGTTACTACGACTATCGTCAGTGATGCACAGCCATTCCAGACCTGTAGTACTTGAGGGTAAGTATCTACCACGCCTCATCATTGCTGTATTGTTTCCACGATGTCATCAGACTAAAAGACAAATACCACAGTCACTGTATTGCCATTTATTATCTTATCATGATTCCCTTTTGTCGTATCGTAGGCTTACCACATGATCAGCCAATATCTCCATTGTTCGTTGTTTGATTTGCGATATTATCCCTATAAAGTACAGTTTAAATACTTATCATATCACTATGGTTAACTAGATTAACCTGTGGGGCTTATGGGGGTTAGAACGATAGTAATCAACCAACAAGCCTTTGGATAACTGACTATTAGCTATCACTATGAAATACCCCCATCATGGTTGGTAGTCTATCCCGATATGTGACTACCCACCATTATATAAATATCCATATATCCTTGCACATTTAATATCCCACCATTATGTACTATTAAATATGATATAAGCATATATAAACTACCATCAAATGATTTTTTTTAAAAATAACTATACCATATTAAAGTAAGTATAGAGGTATAGTATATGTCACTATCATTGAATATCGGTCGCTGTCACTTTTTTGAAATTCTGGGTCGACAGTAGCGATGGTTTCCGACTGGAGGCCCATGAGGGCCCATGGGGGCCCCGACCAGCTCAATGGCTTTGGCTGCATCCAGATTGGCTCGCATGGCGTACTTCCGCGCCAGGGTGTCCTGCCACGTTCTTTTTTTCACGGGAATGGAAGCCCTGGTGGAGCCGATGAGCATCTGCATATTTAGGCGCATGAAGGTGTGAAAAATGGTCACATGATGGAAAATTCTCATCACCAAGTCAGGCATCTGCGGCAGCAGTATAAGCCTATGTTGGGGTAGTTTCCCTTACTAAGCATCATCGACAAGAAGGCCAACTAGCCAGCAAGCGATACCTGGAATGTTTGAGGACACTTGGGGGATGACTGCAGAAATGGAGGGAGTAAGCTTTGGTTCCACAATTGAGACATGGCATAAGCGGCATAAGTGGATTTGTTCATATTGGGGTCCCACGGGAGGGCTTTCATTCATGACAATGTCATCTTCAACATGTTTGCAAAGTTGTGGATCTGTGGATCAGGCTGAAAACGCCATCGGGTGCGAGCCGCCACTCCTCCCCCTGCACTTCGCGGCAGAGACTGATGAAGCATTGGGCGCGATTGTTGTGGAGCACCTCACTACTACAGCTGGCTTCAGGGCGTGACATCTTCCCACAAGCTGATGCCAACAATAGAACAGGGGCCATTTCCTCAATTGCTCTGCTGTTTTCACTGCGAATTCGAGACATCTATGGTGCCGAGTGCTTACCCTTTAGTAGTCCCACCCGCTGTGCTGAACAATCTACAGCAAAATAGATATATATATATATAAACAACATTTTTTAGTGATAACATGTGATAACCACTATGCTGTGTCGAATCTTCATCAGCGATACCTTAGTCATTTGACCCACGCCGCCCCGGCTCGCCGTGGCACCGCCAAATATTTGGGGTCCATCAGCTCTGGCGGATGGCCTTGGATTTCTTGGATTTCTTGGGATCAAACGTGGCTGGTTGGTGGTTTGAACCTACCATCTTGAAAAATATGACTTCGTCAGTTGGGAAGGATGACATCCCATATAAGACATGGAAAAAAAATGTTTGAAACCACCAACCAGGTGGAATTTAATGCGACTTCCATGGAAACATGGCCTTTTGGAGAATGCCTAGCTGGATTTTAAAACATGGCTAGCTGGAAATTCCATTGCAAATGGCTATCTGAATGGTAAGGTCATCCAACCAAATGTTTGATTACCGGGGGTAACCCTCCGAAATACCAGTTCACAGGGTCAACTCAATTGTAAACACTTTGGGCTACTAAGCTGAGACAACCTCATTTCTGAGAACACGATTTCAACATTTGTGGGATAATCCCAGGTTTGGGAAAGTTCTTATACCACCATTTAGGTCTGGTAATTAAAAGACACCTATATAATTTTGGACACGGATTGGTGTAGCCCCCCAAGACAATTGATAGGGAGTCATTAAAGTGGAAGTGCTAATTTCAAAACGTCCTGCTTGGAAAAGAACTGGTTGTGAATCTACGTTTAAAACATATTTGAACCTTGGCGCTAATCATTTTTTCTTTGCTGGGCGTATGGTTCATGAGGGGGAGGATCTTCGAGTTATTCAATGTTCTCCTTTGTTCCTTACCTGGACTTTGTAAATATTGGAGCACGCCTTTGTTCAAGGTTCTCGTTTCTTCTTCCTTCCTTACTCTTTTTATCTTCTGTTTTCTTTCATTTCCATTTCCATTGCTGTCCTTTGTTATTTTCTGTCCTTCTTGTTCCTTACTTTCTATTGTTGTTGTTCTTATATTCCGTTGTTTCCTAAGGAAATTGTGCCAATCAAAATACCAACAAAAAACTATTGGAGGGTGACTTTTGAGATTCACAACAACACCTCAGGAAAGTCTTCACCAATGTTCAGTACCATCCCAATAATTGTGCTATTCTGTATCTGAGTGGTTCATTGGTTACTCCCTTGCTAATTGTTGGGTGTCGCTTTCAGCTCGAGAGTAGCAAAGTAATTGATGAAAAGCTCGGCATTGTGGAAGTAGCACTAAGTAAGATGCAACACAAAAAAACTAGAGTAGAAGAAAGGTGCCTTTGGGAAATGCTCATGCAGGTCACCAGTCCAAAAAAAACAACACTATCCATTATTCACTCTCTGCCCCATGACTATAGCAGAATCGATCGTGGTTTTCCTGCGCCAACCGTCGTTGTGGGCTGAAACGACCCAGGCCCCCTGAGTTGATTGAGTTCCCTGGCCGACCTCCGAGTCCTGGGCAGTCGACTTGGTTGACATTGACTGGCAACTCCCAAGGACCACCATTTGTATATGTGTATATATAAATATAATGTATATATAAATATAATGTATATATATATATATTTTTACATATTGATTGTATATATATATGCATTATATGCATATTAAAAAAAAAACTTTATGACACAATCCCATGGTTATATATCCGGTTACTTGCTTCCGTCCCAATCTTTTCCGGTTTTTCTCATTACATGGCACCTCTAAAAGGTCAATGGCAGCAGAGTAGAAGGCAATGGCCTGGCACAGATAGGCAAATTATGCTTAGATATTTCCGATAGGCAAGATATGGCAAAACACCAGTGATTTGGCTATGGGAGAAATCTATTTCGAGACAAAACCATATGACACAATGGGATGACCTACCAAAAGTGATGCGAAACGATGTATGACGGCATACATGGACACGATGCTATATATTATATATACATATGATTATATATATGTATTGGTTTTGATGTGATAAAATCCCATCCTCAAAACCAATTAAAAGATTGAAGCGTACTACAACCCACATCGGCCCTCCATTTCTATTCAGCTTTCTATTGGCCAGGCCAATCCAGCACTTCTATGGCGCATCTTGTCAGGACAAGGATGATTCTACTAGGTGTAACGGTTTGGAAAAATATATTTATATATCATATATGTATAATGGTTATATATATATATAAATATGCGTGTGTGTGTGTGTAAATGCATGGAACTGCGCCACACAGGCCACACAGGCAGCATTCGATAAGAACCATACAGTAGCAACTTACTGGAGGCATTCTCCAACAGACCTTTCTCTCAAGCGGCGATGATAAAAAAAAGGGCAATATCCACAGGACATGACCTCAACCTTGAAGGACCCTATGGGGCACCACCTGGTAGGGCTAGAGTCAGCACGAAACTGGTCAACATCGATGCTCATATGCTCCTCAATCATCACAATATAAGATGGTAAGGACCCGGATGTAAGGCATAATTTTGCCCGTGTAGAGTTCTGTGGTTTACCTCGGGTGATGTCAACAACGCTTACAGCTCGAAGATCCTGTCGAAAACTCCCTCATACGGGCAAAACATAAACACATCAATTCAGCAACCCAAGCTGAAAGCAGAACATAATGTGATGTGGAAATATGTTCTTTTGATGATTTGAACACTCATATGATATATACCCACCGCAGTATCAAACCATACCACGCTCTGATGATGTTTGTATCGGCCTCTTCGTACTCCCACTTCTTGACGCATTCGTTCCCATGCCTTAGCTGACCCATTGGTCTTTGCTGGGCCTACTTGGGTATACGTTGGGCATGTGCGCCATGTTACAATGTTGGGCCTATTGAAACGTAATGAACATCCGGGCCTCATAGCCACATGTACCAGAATGTACCTACGTTTAATATAATATGGATATGGAATCAATGTGTGAGGAAATATACCACATACATTGAAGGATATGGGGCGCGTTTTTTGTTTGTGGCACCGTGGAAATTCACACGGTATGGCATCCAGGAATGACGCTTGGATCATAAGCCCCAATCCTTTCGCCTCCTTTGAATCCAACACCAACTATATCCAACTATCCATTCACGAATATGGTTTCGCAAAGTGCTTCTCAAACAGCAGGCGTGGTCATTCTTTGTCGGTGGCTGGTGGTTGCATCGGTTTTATCAAGAAATGATGCTATACACTCAAAAATTGCCATCAAACAATGAAAGGCTATGATGTTCAGATGGCTTTTTTGACTTGCCCCCATTGCTTGGACAAACAAAGATTTCCAGCATTGTCCATCTGCTTGATACGTCATCACACAGCTGTCACTGTGGGCTCCGGAACTCCTTTAGCTGCTCGATGGGCGTGAAGAGAGGTACCTGTCGAACAGATGAGGGTGATGAGGATTGATGAAAACACAGGATGAATAAAAATCCAGTCTACTCATTGGGGTGAAACATTTGATACAAACATATCTCTATGCTTGGGAGAACCCCCAAATTTGATCAATTGAGCTTGCGTCACTGGCTAGCGTTTGGCCATCATGGCCAAAATTTGCACACCAATGCTAAGGTGTACTAGCAAGATCTAGCAAGTTGCAGCGCATGATATTCTACCATCCAACATCTTCACTCAGCACAAAACCGAGGAACAAAAGCCTGCATGGCATATGGTGCGCCTCCGGCTTTTGCGGAACCTGCAGGTTCTCCTCTTTAAAGCTCCTTTTCTCACCACCTAGGCCATCAAACCAAGCAGCTTTCAACAGCAACGGATGGTCCCGGGCAAACCACACAAGCCATAATGGCCCGAAAAGATCCTTACGTTGTGGGAAATGTGGTGATGATGTTTCGAAGTGAGGTGGAAATCTGAAACATCTGGCCAGTTGGCTCTTAGACATATGAAATCCAAAACATGTTCAGTTCTGAGAGTCTTTAAACTTTAAACAAATGCTCTGCGGACTGCAACTCATTGACTAATTATCACTCTTAATTTTCTCCAAACTTGAAACAACATCTCCTGGGTCCATCAAATTGTCCGCATGTTCTTCATATCTTCCCTTTCTTCCGGTTTCACATTGAAAAATCAACGTCCCCGTCCCCAACTGCTGTTTCCTCCACATCTCTGCATCCAAGCAGCCTCGCACCTGCACCTCAGTTGATGCTTCGCTAAAACTGGTTGGTGCTTGACATACCCCATCCCAGAAATGTGCAAAAGCTGATTTGGCCATCAACAATCCCATTTGCAGGGTGGAGCACCTATTAAAACATATAAAAACAAACAGAGAAAAAACAGCAGCCAGCACATGATAGCTCACTTGATGATTCATTGTGACATCCTTCTGAGGGACCCCTATTTGTCGCCCAAGTCAGGAACACCAAGGAATTGAACCCCGTGGAAATGCCCCAATAAATTATCCCAGTTGTGTCCGCATCATATCCCTGTATATCTCATAACATCCATGTTTGGTATACATCCCCAATTTATCCCGTTGTGGCTGTGTTTACTTCAGAATTGTTCAACGCACACAGAGAGTCTATCCACTTGCCGCTCTGCCATCCTGATCAAAAAACATGGGTTCGACCGGTTTGACCTTCCAATCTCCACCATTGCCCTATGACAACGGCTGAACATATTCAAACATCATAAAACCCTTTCTTCTTGGCTAAGACAAGTTAATTTCCTACCTCTTATGCAGTTTGTCATCCGATTTGTTCTTGGTTCTCCCATGCATGGGTCATACATTCCAAAAAAAGTAGATGATGTCCCCCTCTCCAAAAAGGAACAACATGAAAAACAAAACGAGCTGCTGAGATCCCAGTAGCATTTAGCTTTCATCCTAGTAACTGGCATCCCATTCTGTATCCCATGTCATATTCCGCTAAATATGCTATCATCCATTATGGACTCATAAAGGCTTAGACTGAATATGTCACCCCCAACGAGAAAACCATCGCACCTGCCATCGCTGGGCGTGTTTGTCGAAGCCTTGTAGGCGACCGAGCCTGGCTGATGGGGATTACGTACAGGGGGTTCCAGAAAGGGCACCCCAGCTGCAGGATGATTTGGGGTACCCCCATTTACTTCGTAAGTGGTTAATGGTGATGGTGTTTTAATGGGATTTCGTATAGGGATAAAAATTGATGATTCCACTTAGTGGTTTTATACCCTGATTAGTAAGCCCCCTAGCTAGGGATATTCCATTTACAAATGGTAACCAGCTTTAAGTGGGATGATCCTCCAAGTAATTAGTTCGATAACGGGGTCACTTCGTCACTTAGCGACTGGATTTCCAACAGAATAGTTTTATAGTGGACTTCCTGACATGTTACAGTTAGTCTGGTTGGTAAATTTGTGTCGGTTTGGTTACTTGTTGGTTAGACAATGGGGTCGGGACTTGCCAATTTCACATCGTTTCTTGGGATCCCACTTAGTAGGGTCCTATTTCTCAATGTGCCTAGATCCCAGTATTTACATCAGCATACATGTGCTACATGAGTCGTCTTTGGGGCGTTTGATTTTGTTGGTTGTGCCAATACAGACCATGAGCTTATGAAGCAACCATATTTCTGATCCCTCTTAAGCCTGGATTCCCCCACATCTCAACGTTCACCAGCCTCATCCTGGTCAACGACCCCATCAGATTTCCAGTAAAAATCCCATGAAGCAAGCAGCAATCAGATGCAACAAGTTGTGTCCAAATGATCCCAAGCGTACATGTATATTGCAAAATCATATCACAAATAAAAATTAAAAAAACATATCACTCTGTATCCATCTCTAAGCAACCTGTTCTCATTATGCTTCAATAAACTGGTCAGCCACCGAGACTGAGAATCACCTGCCATTCAGCTCGGTGGTTTGCAAGCCCTGCAATCTGACCTACGTCGGCATGATGTTATGGGTCTGTTGGAGGAAACTGGGTGAACATGGTTTAGCCTCTTCGTATATTAACATAGACATGGACTCCAATAATAACCAATTTTTAATGGAAACTAACCTTAGATCTTCCAACTGCTATCTATCAGGGTCTATGTGAATTTACTTGAGGAACAGTTTACAGGAAACTCCCCAGAGATCATAGAAAAAAACGTGGCGAATACATTTTTCCTGTAGATTTTCCATTGACAGGTCTGTCTGAAAAAGAGGTATGAACGGCATCCCCAATGCCCACTGGGTGAAAACTTGATTTTCCTCACTAAATGGCCATTGAACATGGGATATACATGGATATACCGACCCTAGTTTCAGGCAAACCCAAGTGGAGAAAATCAGGAGGCAAATGCAACAAACCAAGCTATGGATTAACTCAGGGTGTGTCATGACCACTGCCCTGCAGGCCTAGAGGATCATCTGGGTATGAGCCAAACATAGGCTGCGTAAAAGGGACAACAGCATTGGTCATCTTTGGTCTATAATTTGACTATCCAAATTTGGGGGCTCAATCCAACCCACATTCAAATGACGGCACATGATTTACCCTGGACAAAGGACTTGCAGCCCAGCTGTGACCAAAATTCATGAGAGCCCCTGCCAGCTGCATTGACTTGAAAGTGCCGTGTTCCTGCCCAATGTTGGGAATGTTGGGCCCAGCCAGAGATGTGCCATCAAAAATAAGTGGTTACTTGGAGGGTCATCATTAGCTATGAATTGGATAGCCATGGACAACCCTAGTTGGGGGACCTACTGACCAGGGTTACTAACCAGTTACCAACTGGGCTGATCCAAGTAATCAACAAGCATTGGCATCCAACAGATTTAACGATCAACTTTTGCATAAAAAAGAGGGGCTACAACCATGGGGCCACATCATTAATATGGCTATTGTCGGTATTGTTATATGGCACAAATGGATTGAAATCATGTCCCATGCCCGGGGCCCAAGCCTGGAATTGCCTGGAATTAAGTGGGACTATGATTCAATGATGGCTAACAGTTATGTACATGATGGATGTGCGGTGATGTTCTTTTCTTCGCGAGCTCTGGCTAGAAACCATCGAAACGTGGAACTTCACCTAAGGCTTTCTTCATCGCATCCTTCCATCCGGAGGGTTGCGGGTCGTTGCTCACCCGATCGAGCCAAGCATTGGATGGGTCAACTGGGATGAAATAGCCTGGCGCATGGCAAAACGAAATTGCACAACAATTAGCCTGCCTCTGTGGTGGATGATTTAGATACTCTGCAAAAAACAAAAAACATGATTGCTTGATCTGCATGTTTACGTGTGCATGCGCATTCGCATGAAACTTCCGTGCATATAAATTGATTATTTTCTGCATGTTTGGGTATTCCTCCTCTTCTGACCCCAAACCTACTGACCTACCGTTCACCAGTCAATTTCTGCCGCAGTTTTCCCCAGCCGCACCTCTCTCCCGAAGCAGTGTCAGTTTGTGACGTCCCTTGCCAGGAGTGATGTTGAGCCCTCGTGCTTGAAGCTCCTGCCGAGTTTGTTCCCGATCATAGGGATTCGACCCCATCCTCGGGGAATTTCGCAGGTTGCTAGGCAAATGCCCCCTTTATAGACGATTCACCTAGACTCAATGGGGATTTTCCATATAGCTATCTTAAATTGCCAGAAGGAAGATTGATTCCCAAATTAGTTTCAAATTACTTTACTTCGTGTGATCCCCACCATGACATTTATAGATTTTCTTACTGGCAAATCTTCTGGCATTCTATCTGACATATCTTCGGGCATTCTATCTGGCATATCTTCTGGCATATCTTCTGGCATTCTATCTGGCATATCTTCTGGCATTCTATCTGGCATATCTTCTGGCATTCTATCCGGCATATCTTCTGGCATTCTATCTGGCATATCTTCTGGCATTCTATCTGGCATATCTTCTGGCATTCTATCCGGCATATCTTCTGGCATTCTATCCGGCATTCTATCTGGCATATCTTCTGGCATTCTATCTGACATATCTTCTGGCATTCTATCTGGCATATCTTCTGGCATATATTCTGACATATCTTCTGGCATTCTATCTGGTATATTTTCTGGCATATGTTCTGGCATATATTCTGACATATCTTCTGGCATTCTATCTGGCATTCTATCTGGCATATCTTCTGGCATATGTTCTGGCATATCTTCTGGCATTCTATCTGGCATATCTCATGGCATTTTATCTGGCATATCTTCTGGCATTCTATCTGACATTCTATCTGGCATATCTTCTGGCATTCTATCTGGCCGTTGAGGTCCAGCGGTGCACACTGAGCTGGGCAGGTCCCAGGTTGAGGTCCAGCGGTGCACACTGAGCTGGGAAGGTCCCTGGTTGAGGTCCAGCGGTGCACACTGAGCTGGGCAGGTCCCAGGTTGAGGTCCAGCGGTGCACACTGAGCTGGGCAGGTCCCAGGTTAAGGTCCAGCGGTGCACACTGAGCTGGGCAGGTCCCAGGTTGAGGTCCAGCGGTGCACACTGAGCTGGGAAGTTGGCAAAGAGCTTGGCGAAGAGAGTTGGCAAAGAGCTTGGCGAAGAGTTGGCAAGGCGGAAGTGGAGGTGGAAGTTGATGCAGACATGGTCGAGTAGAAACTAGAGGGGGAGGAGGAGGACGAGGAGGAGGAGGAGGAGGACAGCTAGCTGAGGAGGAGGAGGAGGAGGAGAACAGCTCTGATAAAATCTAACAACCCTCACCTGGCAGGTGGGGAAAAAGAACTAATCTTCAGCCTTATCATTTGGGAATCAAGGTGTTTCTTTTAACCATTGTGCTGACCAAACAATTACCAAATCGAGGTTCCTTGAGCCGTTCTTCACTTACACGATCTGGTTGTTCCCATGGCTCAGTCAGATTCCCAGGCCATGCTTCAGGTGTGCCACCGCATTCCTCCCAGCAGCTCCTCGCACCGCGTGTCTGAGGGCCCCGATTCTACAAAGGAAGAGGCCCCCCAATTAAACTGGTCTATAGCCCCATCTATATAACTACAAATTGATCATAGCTTATCCATCAATATCCACCAGAGATCCTGGTTAACCTAATCCTGGCTAACCTAATGCGAAGTCAACTTACCTATCTAGGGGTGGCCCTTCATGGGAATCACCCATTGCTTGAACCCTGTTGATTCCAGTGAGTTAAGTGATGCGAGTGAACAGTTTGGATGTCAACACATCAAACTTCACCAACCTTCAAAAAACTGCAGCAAATCAATGTCCAGTCCACTGATGGGTCAAACTGGCCAACTTCAACGACCCAATGTTTCAAGAAATCACCAAACAATATTCAGAACAAATTGCTGTCAAATAGGTTCGCCACAATGTTTCCTACACGATATTTGTTGTGGGTCATACGGTCACGCGAACCTGCTGAAATAGCGCCTCAGCCCACTACTGAATGATTACATCTGTGGACACTATAGTTTATTCAAAATCCATGAACATACCATGTCATGACATGTCATGGCTACCCCCTGGCCCTTAACATATCTCGCACAGCCAAGCTTCTGGCAGTACCACTCATTGCGTACGGCGCCGGGGCGAGACGCACTGACCCCGCTGAGCGCCGTCTGGTTGCAGCGGAAGCAAACGCTTTCTTCGCCCCAGGAGCCTTGAAACGCTGCATCCGATGCCAGCGGAATGTATAACAAGAAAGGACCCTTGAGGAACATGACATATGGATGAACCACTTATTTACGCAATAAATATGGGTACCTTTATTGCAGCGTTGCTACAAGTCTACTCATATCATCTTATATCTCGTAAATACATATACAAATACATACACTCATACACATATATAAGACATATACATATGTATATATATATATGTATATATGCATTTATACATATATATATATAATATATATTGCAAAATATTGCATACTTATTATGTAAATGTAGTATATATGTGAAAATATATCACGTTGTTTGGGGCCCCACCAATAAAATCAAATTCAACGAGTCTACATTCCGAATACGTGGGATGAACGACCGTGGGAGCATAAACAAAGGGTGCTCTCCACACAGCCAGTCCCTGTAAGCAGCTGCGGCATCAACCCCAAACATCAAACCAGGCCGCGTGTCCATGGAACCAATTTGGAACCGCGCTTGAAGCCCCAAGCCTCCTGGTCGAAATCATCAACCCGGCAAGATCCCATTCCCAAGATGGGCTGTGAAACTGTGCGCCCCGTGAACATGTTTTCATAGAATATAAGAACTCCCAATAATGGAAGAAATACTCTTAATGCCAGCACTGGGGCTGCATGGATGTTATGATTCGTTCAAGTTACACGTGGCATGATTTCTTACACTGGTCTTGTTGCGTTCAACCATCCACCACTGTGGCCCCCCCAAAACGCGTACATTGCTGCGGGTGGTCTTCACTTCCCTCAAGGTTTGTATGTTCTTCAACTTCTTCATGCTCCAAAATTTCAGACTTACCACGGGGTCCTCATCACCTTCGCCTTTTGACAATTCTCTTTGTTCCGACTCCACCGTCTGAAGACGGGGCCTCACATAGTGACCTGATGCCAGGCAGAACCAGCTGACACGCACATCCAGCTGGCTGCTTGTTTCACAACGGGATTGCAAAATTGTCAAGTGTCATCAACTACAGGGTGGGGCACAATAGTGAGCCAAGTTGTTGAACACAACTCCAATTTCGCTAAGGTTTATGGCGGATGGTCACAGGGTGTTGCGGGGATTATAGACCAACTTATCACTGGGGAGCACCCCCCCTGTAACGAAGTTTGGTATCAAGTCAATTTGGTCTGCCATCAACAAACGAAACTTCACCACACTGCTACTGAGTACAGCGTAGAGCCATCTTCAAAAAGATAGAACAGTGAATTATCACTATTCTAGTGGGATTAACCTTTTCTATCTTTTTGGGGATTCCCCATTGGTTGATGGCTATATTTGTTGCCACCAGGCTAGAGTGCCATCATTACCCATCTCATCCCCGGTGTCGCAGGTCGCGGTCGGTCGTCCGAGTTGCGGAACTCATTGGCACGATGGAGGCCCTCAGGTCCAAAGTTCTCCTGTCGCGCAACGCGAAAAACAGGGGGTGACCCAAGGTGCTGGTGCCAGAAAACCAACCAACGTAGCGATTCCGAACTGGGGCACCGTGTAAGATACTGGTTCTTTAGAATATCATAATTATCATATTATGAAGATGGTGTCATTGAGGTATCTATGTACTGGTGTACCCATCAAATTTGGATGCCTACACAAGGTTGTCAGAAGGACCTGTCAATGTGTGGGCCTGAGGGTCTGGAATTTTGAGCCATACTCTCAACATCTCTTAACCCTTAATGTTCCATGTCACGTCAAGTTGAGGGCTGCAAACGCCATCAACTCGTTGGTGCTTTCAACCCCCTTGGAAATGTGAGTCACTTGGGATCATCATCACATTCCTATCCTTGAAAACAAGACACAGTTGAAAGCACGCACGTAACCCAACTGGCGTCCATTGAAACCATTTCAAACCACCTCTGTCCTCAGTGTGCCCGGTGTAAACCCCTGGGACTCGGAACCAAGCGAAGAGTGCGGCGCGAGGCTCTGCACTCCTTGGGTGAAACAGCCAGCTGCCAGGGGTAGTTGTGCTGCTGAGATCTTGCTACACCGAGTTGATGGTTCAAACATGTTTTGACCTGTTTCAACCCCTTACACAAAGGACATACAATATAATAATTATATAGCTACCGTTTCATCATGCAAATTACAGTGTGTTAATTACCGTTTTTGGCATCAAAACAAGTTCCCTTTCTTGCTCTTTTGAACCCATCCAACCATCACGATCCCACCTAAAACCAATTCGATATATCGTACCACACCGCAAATTTTACCCAGATTCAAATTCCAACAGAACAAGCGACCACCACATTCCCATCTCCAAAATTGGTATGCCTCATCATTTTTTTGATCCACTCCCAATGAAAAATCCCGGTTTCAATCTCTGTTTTTGCTTCTAAAATTCCTATGTTCGTTGGTCAACCCCTCTTATCCCCACTATATCATACTTTATATATCACCAAAATACATCCTCTCAAGTTGCTTCGAACCCCCTTGGGGACCATTTTAGAACCCAAATATGGGTTCTAAAATGGAATCTACAAGGGGGGTCTTAGAACCTAAATTTTTTGGCCGCTATTCCGTTTTTGGGTTCTAAAATGGGTTCTGAAATGGTATCTTCCACCCTTAAAAAAATCATGAAAAACATCCAAAACTTGATATACTCGATGATGCACTCATGCGTCAAACTCTTCAACATCTTCACTTCTTGTAATGGTCCAGTGTTTCCAAATCAACTGTTGGTATTATAGACCAATGCTGAAATATCATGAAGTAGCATTAAGTAGTTGTATTTCTCTGTAACGTTCTGAGGGCCTTATTTGATCTTATTTGACCTTCTGTGTATAGAGCTACATCTACGCGTTCTGAAATGGAATCCATGGGCCACGGATGTTGAATCACACCTTGGTACATGAAGGAAACCATTCTAGAACCCTTCCCTCCTCTCCACAAGAAAAATTGGGACATTCCAGATCAATGTGTTTCCAAATCAACTGTTGGTATTCTAGACCAATGCTGAAATATCATGAAATAGCATTAAATAGCTGTATTTCTCTGCAACGTTGTTAAGGCCTTATTTGATCTTATTTAACCTTCTGTGTATAGAGCTAAATCTATGTGTTCTGAAATGGAATCCATGAACCACAGATGTTGAATCACACCTTGGTACATGAAGGAAACCATTCTAGAACCCTTCCCTCCTCTCCACAAGAAAAATTGGGACATTCCAGATCAATGTGTTTCCAAATCAACTGTTGGTATTGTGACCAATGCTGAAATATCATGAAATAGCATTAAGTAGCTGTATTTCTCTGCAACGTTGTTAAGGCCTTATTTGATCTTATTTAACCTTCTGTGTATAGAGCTAAATCTATGCGTTCTGAAATGGAATCCATGGGCCACGGATGTTGAATCACACCTTGGTACATGAAGGAAACCATTCTAGAACCCTTCCCTCCTCTCCACAAGAAAAATTGGGACATTCCAGGCCAGTGTGTTTCCAAATCAACTGTTGGTATTATAGACCAATGCTGAAATATCATGAAATAGCATTAAATAGCTGTATTTCTCTGTAACGTTCTGAGGGCCTTATTTGATCTTATTTGACCTTCTGTGTATAGAGCTACATCTATGTGTTCTGAAATGGAATCCATGAGCCACAGATGTTGAATCACACTTTGGTACATGAAGGAAACCATTCTAGAACCCTTCCCTCCTCTCCACAAGAAAAATTGGGACATTCCAGATCAATGTGTTTCCAAATCAACTGTTGGTATTCTAGACCAATGCTGAAATATCATGAAATAGCATTAAATAGCTGTATTTCTCTGCAACGTTGTTAAGGCCTTATTTGATCTTATTTAACCTTCTGTGTATAGAGCTAAATCTATGTGTTCTGAAATGGAATCCATGAGCCACAGGATGTTGAATCACACTTTGGTACATGCAGGAAACCATTCTAGAACCCTTCCCTCCTCTCCACAAGAAAAATTGGGACATTCCAGATCAATGTGTTTCCAAATCAACTGTTGGCATTGTAGACCAATGCTGAAATATCATGAAATAGCATTAAATAGCTGTATTTCTCTGCAACGTTGTTAAGGCCTTATTTGATCTTATTTGACCTTCTGCACTTTATGTAAAAATCCCCTTAATTTCAAAATTCTGCCTCGTTAATTCGGGGTGACGTCGTGACGTCGAATTAAATCGTACAGATACATCATCATATGTTTCTTATAATATATTATAAAATATATTATACTGTATTATATACAAGCTTCCAGGGTTCTACAATGCTTACGGGACCGGGGGTTCTACAATGATTTTTTTTCATTCTAGAACCCTCCGTGTTTATCCCCAGGGGGGGCATTCTAGAACCTTCCAACTTGAGGGTATCAAAATACCAGTGAAATCCCATAATGTCTATTTGTTTTGTTTTAGAATTATTGCTACATGTATGCATGCATGTATGTTTTCCATTTTGGTTACTTAACCATACTTAACCCGTTCTTGTCTTTGTTACGAGGCTCTCGTTCTCCAATCCCCGGTGCTCCGTGAAGGAGTCGTACAGCAGCACCGAGCCTGGCGCTGTGGCACCCACCACCTCCGTCGCAGGCGTTGGATGCGACGCCCCGAGGGCACCGCGCAGCAGGTGGGAGCCGGGGAAGAAGCCGATGGCGCCGTTCAGGGGCTCGGCCTGCTGGATCTGACGGTTTTTTTTAGGGTTGGGAGATGTAAATATCTGGTGGCTGTATTGTATATACATATATCATATGTATATATACAGTATATATATATATATGTGTGTGTGTGCGTGTTTTTCAATATATACTGAACGCATATCTAAAAAAATATGCAAACGCATATAATACATATGTTTATATTAATATGTGTATATATATATGTATACATCATCCTAATATCATCCTATATCGATCTATAGAACCTTAGTACTCAGGCAAACGGAGAGCGCCGTCGCCTGCATGGTGGTCAAGGGAATATGAACCCCGAGCGATGCACAAGGTCCCGGCAAAATGGTGTCGCGGTGCTGTGTCTGGGCTGGCGCCCCTGCAGGGGTATCCACCACCACTAGCAGGTCCAACTCTGGATAGCCAGCACCTTTGGGTGGGCACCACCATATGTAGATTCAACATGTCAGATTCCAGTGGTCCAAATACATGTAGATCAAGACATGGACCCTCTCTGCCTCTGTGGAAGTCCTAGTTTCATCATGTTTGTACTTGGTGTTCCTCTTCCATTGAATTGGGTATCCTGCCACATATCCATATATCTCTATGTCGGGTAGACGGGGTCCCATACCAATGGAAGACCCAAAAGGAAAATAACATGACAATCTGACAATAATATCTGAGAATAGTATGGCAAAGGGGGGCATGTGGGATACCACCAAAACAGGGTCAATGACCAATCATACCGCAGACATCTGCAAACATACAGTATTTGCAGAATCGAAAAACAAATCCCAACCTCACTTGAACATACTCAAACTGGAACAAGTCCCATCAACTCCAATTTATACAGTATATTGTGGGCAACCCAATAATTCCCCAAAATCACACTGAATGGTTCCTATAAATCATCCCCAAACCATAGGTTTATTATTGGATTTTTGGATTTACCGCATTAACCATTGAATTTCATCAATTTTAATCCCCTTGAAATGTGGGTAATTTCACCATAATAATAAAAAAAAATATATATAATATATATATATATACGTACCCAAAAACCATTCCCAGTCATAGCTGGTTTATGACATCTGGTTGGTGGTTGAGCCACCCCTCTGAAAAATATGAGTTCTTCAGTTGGGATTATGGCATTCCCAGTGTATGGACAGTCATAAAATTCATGTTCCAAAGCACCAACCAGCATATATACCTAGAGCAACCTCAGGCTAGAATTTGAGCCTGAATGTGTTTAGGCTTCTTTTTCTGCCTGACCCTGGAATTCTCGCCTGAATCTAAATTCCTGCCTGAAAGGGTTTTCTACATTTTTGCTAAAGATTTTTGTTCCCTAAACTGCTCAAAATCGTTTCCTCGCCAATTCTCGCCTGATTCCCGGGTATTCCCGCCTGATTCCCGAGCATTCCCGCCTGAATTGGTGAACACCAAAACACAAAAATAGCTCTCAAAACGAGAGCTCACACATTGAGCCAAAACTGGCAATTCCAGCCTGAATGGACAATCTCGCCTGAATCGATGCTCAGGCTAAAAAGTAGCCCGAGTCCCAAAAAGGCTACTATTTGGTTTCAGGCCTAAATTTCTGCCCGTTGGAGGCGGCAGGTATATATATATATATATGATAAATTGTGATTTTCCATAGTTATGTTAGTTTACCAATAAACATATATTATACCATATAACCATTATTTGTTTTCCAAAGCACCAACCGGCAGTTTACACCCACATTACACATCTACCGAGCCACTCAGCCTGCCAGAGGTGAACGTTTCGATGTCTCCACCTGCACCGAGCCAATGGGCAAAGGACATCTCCGCCGATTTCTCCTGCGACACTGATCATCCGAAATCGGTGAGAGAAACGTGAGGAGTTTCAACGGAAAAACTTGGGGATTGCGGAAAAAATATGGAATGAAGAATGTTGAAAGTTTGGAACTTGAAACCACGATAATCGTAAGAGAAAAAACATCGAAGATATTCACGATGGTTGATCACACAACTAAGTTTTCAAAGATGCAATATGGAGATTCTTATTAGAGCCTCTACGGAGATTTGCAGAAGACGGAAAGTGGGAAATGAGCCAAACTGACACACGTGCGGACAAACCACAAAAAACTCACCAAACTTGAAGCAATTCGACCCATCAGCATGCCAACACTGCGTTGTCAAATCAAGCAGTGAAAACTCACTGCTCTTAAGTCCTCGCTCATGTTGGTGCTGTTCCGCAAATATCTGCACAGGAGAGCGAGAATCAACGGATGACAAATGATGTCATCATCTGCCCATAGCTTGTCGAAGGGAGGGATAGTCATGTCCTGGACAGTGGAAGGTCATTCTGGAGTTGTCCTGAGAATATATCACATCAGTAAGTAATGCCCCGTGACAAGGGGTGACATCATTCCAACATGCTGCTTTCTCTTCTTCATCTCTTTAACAGTTCCCATTGAGGACTGCTGAGGCCCCAAGCAGAATCTCAAAAAATATGATAAAATAAATCAAAATTAGCCTGATAAACTTCAAGCAGTCTTGGAGAAGCTTTGGGGAATCGAAGGAGGTCAAAGTGTTCCTGCTCGTGTACACTTGGATGCCCAAAAAAAATAGCACTTGACACCCCGAACCCACCGTCCGCAAACCAAAAACATCTATTCCCAGAATTGGTTTAAGGCAATTTCAAGGAACATGTGCGGGAAATCTTTGTATTTACTCGTAAAAATCATGGTTTCCGATGGTTTCCGGTTAAGATGTTTCCATATATATATATATATAATATAATAATCTAATATCATAAATGTATATAAATGTATATATATATATGTATATATATAGGGTGTGAAATAGTTTTAGGATTTTTTTTTGAGCAGGTTTGGGATTTTTTTTTGGATTTCTTGGCTGGTACCATTTGCCTAGTGTTTGCAACGGTTTGGAACTTGAATTTGTCATTTTGCATGGTATTTGCCACATTTGGGCATGTTCACCTTCCATTTTGCATGGGATTAACTACATGTGGGCATGTTCACCTTCCATTTTGTATGGTATTTGCCACATTTTGGCATGTTCACCTTCCATTTTGCATGGGATTTACTACATGTGGGCATGTTCACCGTCCAATTTGTATGGTATTTGCCACATTTTGGCATGTTCACCTTCCATTTTGCATGGGATGTTCTACATGTGAGCATGTTCACCCAAATATTTACAGATGCGGAAGCTTGGGATTAGATAAAAAGCGGGTGGGGGGGATTGAGGGAGGGCGCTAGCTATCTATCCAGCTAGCTAGCTATCTAGCTATCTAGCTAGCTATCTATCTAGCAAGCTAGCTATCTATCTAGCAAGCTATCTATCTATCTAGCTATCTATCTACCTATCTAGCTAGCTATCTTGCTAGCTATCTATCTACCTACCTAGCTATCTAGCTAACTATCTATCTAGCTATCTAGCTATCTAGCTTTCTATCTATCTAGCTATCTATCTATCTAGCCATCCAGCTGTCTATCCAGCTATCTAGCTATCGAGCTATCTAGCTAACTATCTATCTAGCTATCTAGCTATCTAGCTTTCTATCTATCTAGCTATCTATCTATCTAGCCATCCAGCTGTCTATCCAGCTATCTAGCTATCTATCTAGCTATCTATCTATCTAGCTATCTATCTATCCTATCTATCTATCTAGCTATCTATCTATCTATCTATCTATCTATCTAGCTATCTATCTAGCTACCTCTTTATCTATCTAGCTAGCTATATCTATCTAGCCATCTATCTATCTAGCTATCTATCTAGCCATCTATCTATCGAGGTATCTAGCTATCTATCTCTCTAGCTATCTATCTATCTAGCTGGCTATCTATCTATCTAGCTATCTATCTACCAAGCTATCTATCGGCTATCTATCTATCTATCTATCTATCTACATGTAATCCTGTCAGCTTTCCAGAGAAGGTTAGTTCGCAAAAACCAACTAATGTAACTTGGGTTTAAGTTTAAATAAAAAAAAGCGGGAGGGGGGGATTGGGGGAGGGCGCAGCGCCTCCCCCCAAAGCAGAATGCAAGCACCTCTTCTCACATGTTACGTTGCTAGTTTTCAAGAGAAGGTTGGTCATGTGATACTCAGGGATGTAAATACTTAAATACTGTGCAAAATGCATCTTACATGAAAATCAAGTATTTAAAGCAGGCAAAGCAAAAAAAAAGCAGAGAAGCAAAAAAGCAGAGAAGCAAAGAAACAGGAAACGCACAAAAGCAAAACAGCAGAAAGGCAAAGAAGCAGGAAAAGCAGAAAAGCAGAGAAGCAGGAAAAGCAGGAAAAGCAGAGAAGCAAAGAAACAGGAAAAACAGAAAAGCAAAAAAGCAGAAAAGCAGAGAAGCAGAGAGAAGCAGGAGAAGCAGAAAAGCAAAAAAGCAGAAAAGCAGAGAAGCAGAGAAGCAGGAGAAGCAGAAAAGCAAAAAAGCAGAAAAGCAGAGAAGCAGGAAAAGCAGGAAAAGCAGGAAAAGCAGGAAAGCAGAGCAGGAAAAGCAGGAAAAGCAGAGAAGCAGAGAAGCAGGAATCCAAAAATAATTCCTAAACCTGATCAAAAAAAAATCCTAAAATAATTAGCCCTCCATATATATATATATATATATATCATGCAAGCAATCCATTGATCCATAGCAGTCTGATGAAATTTGTTGCCGAAATTTGCCAAGATCTGCCGGGAAGCTCGTTTGGCTCTCATCCGACTGAAGGTCACCCCCGCTGGAAGCCCAGTCTTCCGCTGGCCTCGGAACTCTTCGAGGAGGACCTGCGGAGCTCGCAACTGGCGAACATACAATATCGCAACTCAACACAAAATGAATCATTAGGATTTTTGTTTAGGTAAATTATGGTAAATTATGTAAACCATCTATAAATTCTGAAAATTATCTATAAACAAATGTATCACCACGTCTAATAGGTAAATCACTGAATCATCTATATTAAAATAAACCATTTCCCCCGCTACTATATACTGTGTTAAAATGTGTCAGATTCCGGAGGGTATTGTTCAACAAATATTGCTGTGGGCACGTGTCTCATCTTTTCAATTTTGTACATAACATATCTTTCTACTTGCCTAGGGACATCAAAGACAGTGCAAGTGATGCTGGGCTTATCTCCTGCCAGTTCCATGTCCACAACCATAAAAGCAGCAGCAGCAGCAGCAGCATATGATTGCTGCTATAGCTTGACCCAGCAAGATGCCATGCTTATTTTTGGGGCACATGCGAGCAATCAAAACATACAAACACCATCTAAAATCCCCTTCATCCATCTTCATCCTAGAGACTTAGGCACTCTGAACCATCTTAACATGCATATCTGGTTGGTGGTTTCAACCCCTCTGAAAAATATTATACGGACAAATAAAACTAATGTTCCAAACCACCAACCAGATACTAACATCTTACATTCCCACCATTTCCGCAGCCCTGCCACAACCGGCCAGGGAAGCACCTGCAGCTGTTCGGGCGCGAAGAGACGTTCCAAGACCACAAAGCCCTGCGTCTTCAGCTGAGCCAAGGCCTCTTCCAAGATCTCCTGGAGCTGCTGAGCCAAAATGGATGAACCTGGGCCAAAAGATGGGGGCACGTATGTATATATAATATATATATATATAATATATATATAATATATATATAATATATATATAATATATAATATATATATATATAATATATAATATATATATATAATATATATATATATTTGTGTATGGATTTATGATGATTTATGTTCAATGGCCATTTCATTTACCTACCATATTAATAAGGCCTGTTCTGGAGGGCTATGTAAGGGGATATGCCTCCAAATATGGCTTCATTTGGTACAGTGCCTCCATTTCAGGGTCCGAAAATTCCCATATGCTGAGCTCACGGACTTGTAAAGGTGGTTTCACCATCTCACTCTTGGGTTTGGGGTAGATGAATCTATGGCGAAGGGCGTGGATAAACCAACTTATGACTAGGACCACCTTGTAGGGGAGACTAGAAACTCCTTCACCACATGACTGGAAGTGAAGATCCCAAGGCCTTCAGAATTTCAGAATGGTTTAAGTATGTTTAAGTATACATGTTTGGAAATGCATGTCTCATTGTGGCAGTGGGTGAAGGCCTCAGGATCCATTTCTGCCGAGATATCACCGCGGTATTTTTTTCTTCAGCCACCGCTGTAGAAAAGTGATGTGTAGCTGGTGAAGGGATGAAGATCCTCTGGATCAATTACATGGTTTTTGGATGTGTTTGGGTTTTTCACGGCTCTATTCCATGTTTTTCCCGTTGCAATGAGCCAGAGCGCCAGCTGACCCCATCATGCTGCAAATGAAAGCATTCAAAGCGTTTCTTGGAGAAAAACAAAGAAAATCAACATCTCAGTCATACCCCTATGTTAGAGATATCTCATGTTGGATATACCCAGGGTCAGTATCGCTCATCATCTCCTGTTTCTTCTGGTCAGTGGCATCCCTCCAGCCATCGCACGCTACGATAGGTGCCCCAACACTGGGGCGGCCATCGGAGTCGTAGAGGAAGAGCCGGTCACTGCCTGTACACATGGCGACTTAGCCAACAGAAGTGGTGCTATCATTGCATATTGGGGATAGGCTGGACTCAACTATATAGGGTGGTCAAGTCATACCAGCTACTGAGTTGGCAATAAGCAAAATATAAGCCAGTAATGTATGGAATAATGTCAAGTGAGGATTAATAATCCCCTCCCGATTAATCAACCACCATTGCCAAAAAAAAAGCAATTCAAAAACAGGTGGTCCCCCCAGATTAAAAAACCGGTGGGCCTACCCCCGATTAATCAACCACCAGTGCTGAAATCCATGTTTTTTATCCAACATTTTTTATTTCCAATTCTATTTATTTCCAATTGTTTTTTTTACCTTTTTTTTATAATCATCATTGTTATACTTCAGGTTTAAGTTGATCATTGAAAATTTCAAAAAACAACTATTCCCCAAATGATCGATTTCTAATTAAAATCTTTATAAAAAACATCAGTTTGGATAGCTCCCAAAGGGTACCCCCCATGAGCCCATGTCCCCCATTAATAATAACCATGGTTTGCCCCTGATTAATCAACCACCTTTCTGATCCATGAAATTTTAACAAATCCAATGGAATTCTATTAAGATCTAATTGACGTAAGCCATATCCAAAGTTTTATGGTTCAGAATTTTATGGTTCAGGGCCGTTTATTTACGGGTAGTCAAGAAAACTCGCCAGAAGGTACCCCCCTACCTTCTAGGGGGGGGGGTCTATTAATCCGGTGTTGGCATTATACCTTATAATACATGTCTCATACATGAGCTACATATGAGCTACTAACCGTACACCAAACTTAACCATACTTACTGGGATGCGCCCCAAAGTAGGCCGTAGGCTGCCAGGCCAAAGCTCCCGCCTTTAGGGGGCACGAACTTGCCCCTGCCGGACCTGCCGGATGTTGTCTCCCCATTGGAGACAGGAAGGCCCTTGTCCTTGACAGCAATGGAACTCAAGAGCTCCAGCAGTTCCTCCTGCGGATAACCTTGAAGCGTGGGTCAAAACCCTAGGTCCTGGTTTCTGTGGTCTGCTAGTCTTCTTGGTTCTCAAAGGCTTCCAAATCTCAAGGGTGCAAATAGTCTGTTTCAATCATGGACTCGGCTGCGTTTGCCCACCCTTTGAGGACCTCAATGTCTGATGAAGGCCCCATGTTTCAGGGCAAATATCTTGGACACATCAGCCAGTAGGTACCTAAAACATGGTTTCAATATATGTCAAACTGCCAGTCCATTTGCGGGCACCTAGCCTGTACAAGTCTGAAAGTTTTAAGCCATGCCCAAGATAGGCACACTGTCTGCAAATGAAAAGAAGTGGTTGGTGGTGTTGCCAACCCACCTCCAACATGCGATATTTAGGGCTTAGGGTTCCAATCATTCCAAAAAATCTGGATAATTTTCCATCATTCTCTTTTGGTGTAGATGATGTAGTTCGTAGTCCCCAAATTTCCAACTGATTTTGGCTCATCACACCCATTGATCCCCCCATTTCAAAACCCTTCAAAAAACACAACTCCTGATCATTACTGCAACTCATCACACACATCGAATTCTCCCAATTTCAAGAGATCTCGAAGAAACTCGTTTGAAAAGTACACCGCATCTCACCCTCAACAGAAAAAACATCAAATTCCGGGTTTCTCACCCAAAAAAAAAGGCACCATTTCTGCCAGTTCACTGCCTCGAAGTTGGTTCACCGCCTCAACCAGCCTCAGTGCCGCCTCCCACTCTGGCACCGCCTTCTTTGGCGCCCGTGCGGCCGTCGCCGCAGCGCCCAGCGCCGCAGCCACCGCGGTGCGCCCGCGGAAGCCGCGTTGCCGTCCCAGAAACGGCCGTGGCCGATGGAAGGAAGGAACTCGGGAAGGGCAAACGATGCGATCTGCCAGGCGCAGGCTGGTCATGGCAGAAACTCATGAATTTTTTGGTGGATGATATGGGTTGCTTTTGGGTCATGGATTTTGGGAATGGTTTCGGATAGTTTGGGAATTTTGAGATGGGGATCCTGTTGGGGATGCATGATTTTGGGGGGGTGAGGGTGTGTCCAGTCTTGCCAACTGTAATGGTTTTTAATGCAATCATCTTTTAAGTAAAACATTTCATTGCACGGTCACGGTGCATGAAGTCTGATCTTGTTTAAGGCTGGATGTGATTGATCCATCCCTGCTATCCAAGGTTCCTGCACCCGTTCCTGTTGAAGCTTTCAAAATCACAATCTCTGACATGTCATGTCCTGCATCAAGCTTGAGCCGTTCATGGCATCCGCTCAACAAGCCCTGAAACCATGCTGAGAATGAAGGCTCTATTCTGGTAGTGGTGGTCTTCCAGAATTGCAACATCGACTTTGGGACATCTGTTTGGGGCCCCAAGACCTCCGACACAGTATACCAAGGGCTTGTATGATGATCTCGGCACCAAATATATAAGGTTCCCCATTCCATCCCATGGTTGAGACAAGTAATCTCTTCTCCCTATTACTAAAACTCTCCCAAGTAATAAAAAAGGGAGTGGATTGCCACTTTCGAATTTTTTTGGTTGCTCACAATTGCGTTCTTAATTGTTGTAATTGAAAATGGAAATCAATAGGGGAACAGGATGGTGAAATAATGGTTTGTACCCCCTTTTAATAAAAATAGAACGAGACCCGTAAGTTTATTATTAGGGTCCCATCAACTTTGAAATCATGTTTTTTAATGCTTTTTGTAAAGGTCTTAATTTGACAATTAGGGGAAAGCTTCGAAAGCCAATCTTTGGCAATATTTAAGGGGATTTTAAAAAGGGATTCAATTGATTTTGAAATCTTGTTTTAAATTCTTTTATTAAGGTGTTTGTTTTATTATTCGGGGTACCCTAATACTAAATACCCCAAAATAGATCACCATGTTTAGCATTTGGGGGGGTGTTTTAATATTAGGGAGCAGAGATTGGCCATCAAAATGGCGCCAACTTACTCGAAAATTCCCGGTAGTTGTTCTCATCCCACCCCTGGAGGATCTGAGCGAATACGCCTTCAGCAGCGCCGAGGTGTCCGTCTTTTCAGCCTGCACAAAGGGATGAAATGTAGCAACCGGGTGGTCCGACCCATGTATTTTTGAGTGGATTACTTATAAATTATAACTGCCCCCAGAGGTAGGGCAAGTCAGGATTCATCCAAATATAACTAAGGTTAAAAACATGTTCGCTGCAACCCTGATATTTGCCCGTGACCGATCGCACATGTCGCTTGACATGCTCAAATCCCTGTGTACGGCTAGCGTTTTTTTTTAACTTTCCAAAGCGCTAAAAACCTTAGAAACCCGAAACGCTAAAACCTGAAACCCAAAAACCCTAAATCCTGAAACCTAAAGTCACAATCGCTACGCATTGCCAGTGTTTTCGCTCATCCTCATGCAGGTGAGTATATGATATTGTTTCGGTGCGTTAGTTGAATATGGGCGAACGTCCGGGTTGGGGCGAACATGTTTAACTCCAATTATAATACAGTAACTGGGTGAAGGCCCAAGAAGTGGACCTGAAATCGCCTTGTTTCAAAAACCTGGTTCCTAAACAAAGCCATCGTTTCTTCAAACATGTTGTTTCAATTTTCAATGGTTTATAGTCAAATGGAAACAGTTTGTTTGAAACCCTGAGGTAGGAACTAGATCGAAGAAGAACTAACAAACACATACTAGTCGGCGACAGAAGGTCACAGAAGTCTACAGGTGAAATTATCTGGACAGCTGGCTGCCCCAAATGCAAATGAGCAATTGGTCGCAGAAGAATTGCAGCTATCCATCAAAAGCCTGGGGGATTTCCTTTTCAACACCTTTCTTGAGCACGCTATTTGCACATGAGCCGTGGTTTTCTTGCCGTCTGGATTTGCTTACGCCACTCCTAACCAAAGCTCACGCCATCACAATGAACACCTACGCACTGGGCACACATGGCTGTATTGAACACGCCCGAAGCTTATGCCCTACGCATCTCATACCCTCTGCCTAGGCAAACACACCGCCTCGGTGAACCCCCCCGAGCAAAACACAGATCAAGTGCTGTACAATTCCTGTCACAAAAAATATAATTACTTCACTTCGAATGATCCCCACAATGGCATTTATACATTTTCTTACTGGCAAATCTTCTGGCATTCTATCTGACATATCTTCTGGCATTCTATCTGGCATTCTATCTGGCATATCTTCTGGCATTCTATCTGGCATATCTTCTGGCAAATCTTCTGGCATTCTATCTGGCATATCTTCTGGCATTCTATCTGACATATCTTCTGGCATTCTATCTGACATATCTTCTGGCATTCTATCTGACATATCTTCTGGCATTCTATCTGGCATTCTATCTGACATATCTTCTGGCATATGTTCTGACATATCTTCTGGCATTCTATCTGACATATCTTCTGGCATTCTATCTGGCATTCTATCTGGCATATCTTCTGGCATATGTTCTGGCATATCTTCTGGCATTCTATCTGGCAAATCTTCTGGCATTCTGTCTGGCATATCTTCTGGCATTCTATCTGGCCGTTGAGGTCCGGCAGTGCACACTGGGATCTGGAGCTCGTGGTTGAGGTCCGGCAGTGCCCACTGCGACCTGGAAGTCGCGGTTGAGGTCCGGCAGTGCCCACTGCGATCTGGAAGTCGCGGTTGAGGTCCGGCAGTGCCCACTGCAACCTGGAAGTCGCGGTTGAGGTCCGGCAGTGCCCACTGGGATCTTGAGCTCGCGGTGGAGGTCCGGCAGTGCCCACTGCGATCTGGCGCTCGCGGGTGGAGGCCCGGCTGTGCCCACTGGGATCTGGACTGCGAGGAGGAGGAGGCGGAGGAGATGGATGAGGAGGATGCGGAGGCGGAGGAGGAGAACAGCTCTGATAAAATCTAACAACCCTCACCTGGCAGGTGGGGAAAAACGCTGCTTGCATGCCTCAAATGCTCTCTCTCTCTCTCTATTGCCTCAGATGCCTGCAAAATGGCATTCATCAATGCACCACGAAATTGAATTTGAAACCAGCACCATTTCTCAATGAAAAAGTAGGCTTTTAAATAGAAACATAATATAAACATAGACATGGAAACATGGCTAACGGAGCAAAAAAACAAAATCGAGGGATCAAAAAAAAAGCAAATAAGGATCAAAAAAAACAAATAAGGACAACCGTAGAGAAAATCGTCAAGAAACTACGGAAAGGGAGGATCAAAAAAAAACAAATGGGGATACATATGAAAAAAACGAAAGATAGTAGGTAGCAAGGGAAGTCGATTAAAAAATAAAAGCGGTTGGGGGGGTGCAGGGGGGAGGGCGCAGCGCCTCCCCCCGCAATGCGTACCAAGAAAGAAGCACACAGGCTCAAGTCTCGATGGATATAAATAAAGATTAAGAAAGAGAAGATAAACCCAAAGAAACGATACCTATAAAAAAAATGAAAGAGAGTAGGTAGCAAGGGAAGTCAATTAAGAAATCAAAGCGGGTGGGGGGGTGCAGGGGGGAGGGCGCAGCGCCTCCCCCCGCAATGCGTACCAAGAAAGAAGTACATAGGCACAAATCTCGATGGATATCAATAAAGATAAAATGTACCCAAATAACCGATGATGCTTATGAAAAACAAAAAGAATAGATAAGAATAGTAGGTAGCAAGGGGAACCGATTAAAAAATAAAAGCAGGTGGGGGGGTGCAGGGGGAAGGGCGCAGCGCCTCCCCCCGCAATGCGTACCAAGAAAGAAGTACATAGGCACAAGTCGCGATGGATATCAATCAAGATTACAGTAAATGAACCCAAATAAACAACGATGATGCTTGTGAAAAAAAAGAATAAAAAGAATAGTAGGTAGCAAGGGGAGCCGGCTAAAAAATAAAAGCGGGTGGGGGGGTCAAGAGAAGGAAGCTTTCCTTTCATTTTTCAAGAGAAGGTTACTTCTTTCTTTCTTTCTTTCTTCCTTCCTTCGTTCCTTTCTTTCTTTCTTTCTTTCTTTTCTTTTTTTCTTTCTTTCTTTCTTCCCCTGTTTCTTTCTTTCTTTCTTTCCTTTCCTGATTTTGTTTTTTTTATCCGTGGGTTTTGCCTTTATTTCGTGATAGTTTCCTTGTGTTTTCTCATGTTTTCTGGATTTTGTTTTTTTTGATCCCTATTTGTTTTTTTTATCCTTATGTTCCTTTCTTTTCCTTTCTTTTCCTGTCTTTTCCTGTCTTTTCCTGTCTTTTCCTGTCTTTTCCTGTCTTTTCCTGTCTTTTCCTGTCTTTTCCTGTCTTTTCCTGTCTTTTCCTGTCTTCCCCTCCTTCCCTCCTTCCCTCCTTCCCTCCTTCCCTCCTTCCCTCCTTCCCTCCTTCCCTCCTTCCCTCCTTCCCTCCTTCCCTCCTCCCTCCCTCCCTCCCTCCCTCCGTCCCTCCGTCCCTCCGTCCCTCCCTCCGTCCCTCCCTCCTTCCTTCCTTCCTTCCTTCCTTCTCCTCCTTTAGTTTTCAACTTTGTTTTTTTTGATCCCTATTTGTTTTTTTTGATCCTTATTTGTTTTCTTGATCCCTATTTGTTTTTTTGATCCCTCTCCCCAGGAAACATGATGAAACATGTATAAACCAGATGCTCATAGATGTTCAAAATTGTTCAAAGATTTTCGTATGCTTATATATGTTTATTGTTGTTCTACGCGTTTCAACATATGGTTTTGTCCAGCTCCCACCCTTCGCTTCTACCATAGCACCTTGGACTCGTCCTTTTTGACATGTCGATAACCTCCCTGGTTGGGGGCATGCTCCAAGTGCCTGCGCGGGGAACGCTGCAAAAGAGCCATGAAGAACTGAGGGAACAAGCTGGGAATCCCGCTGGGAACCCTGGGAACCAAATCGCTCATAATCAATCATCAAATCCAACTGCCAGGTTTATGATGGGTCGACACTACTAGAAATCATGACAGCATGTATGACAGATGGATCAAGACGGTGTGTTCCATAAGCGATATGACCTCTGCTTCTCAACCGGTGTCCAAGTCCAAGCCGTCCAAGCCCTATGCGGTGCCTGTAACCAACCACCAGGGGTTCAGGACCCGAAGTGGAAACATCGTCAAACTGCACCCGCATATTCCTCGAGGGGCGGTCAGGCGAAGCGATGCCGTTACTGCTTCGTTCAAAGGCAAGATTGGGGCAGTATGCTCCTGCTTTCCGCATTGTTTTCGACCTCAGCGTCAGCGAAAATCACAAACAACCATAAACAACCAATAATGAGGAAAGTTATAGGAAAATGCGTGAAGTAGACTCAGTAGACTCAGCTGGTAGCATGCACCCAACGGACACACAAGGATGCATCCAGGGCCCTGACGATGGTTCCCTCCATGCCGCCATGGAACCTGTGATTCCCAAGCCTACTCGTTCAGTTGCGATCCAAGGCATCAAACATCATGAGCCACAAACTAGCTGTGATAAAACGTATGAAGCCATCACCACCAACACCATCATCATCATTATCATCCTCATCATCACCATCATCATCATTATCGACATGGGACGCCTTTCTCTGTACAAAGCCATACCTGCTCACAATTGAATAGGATATGTTGCAACGTAGTCTGTGTCATGGTCAGTGGTTGCTAGTTTAAACCAATCCCCAAACATATTAGTCACACTGGGATCATCTCATCATCATACACCCACTGCATGCTTCAAAACAAACACCATTAAAAAAAAAAAACGGTTCCACCCAGTTCCTCTTTCTTGGTTCCAAAATCTTCCAAGACCTAGCTTCGCAACCTTCGGCTAAGGATTTGCCCCACCCTGCACTGAGACCGCGTACTTCTCAAAGTTCTTCCCCCCGAGCACGCGCACGCGCTCACCCCTCGGGAGAGAAGCAAGGTCTGCCATTGCCTGTAGCTGGTCATCACCCCACGCTAGACCAAACGATGAACTGATCCAAAAAGGAAAATGGAAGGCATTTCTGAGAGGTAAATCTCCGGATCAACAGTTCATCCGAAAAAGGAATCATGTATATAATATTATACAATATGAATAACGACAGTATATATCTCGTAGACAGTCAAATTAGGTCGAAATCACAAGCACGACAAATGCATCCCCCAGGGCTCTCCATGCAAAGGTCCGAAAGGAAGCTCCACACCATTTCCAATCAATTTCCCTGCGTCATGAACTCGCGGCACTTCGCTATACATGTATCAAGAGATGGATCTCTCAGCCACGCATGTTCCAAGTCCTACAGCAAGGATCTGTGAAAAAACATGCTGCACGCCTTAGTCATAAATCAGCCAGTTGGCATTGAAAACTGCAAATGAATACTCCTCCAAACCAATGGCAGAGTTGAACATAGATCTGCAGGCTGAATTTTCATAGTGTATAATAATATGTGTTCACCAAGCTGAAAAGATCAGCCTTCTTGGATAGTTTGGATAGTTAGCCCTAGTTTTCCTCATCATTTTTAGTGACATCATTGTAATTTATCCACAGGATATGACTTCCACACAGCCCGAAGATCACTTTGTTCGATTGATTTGGATGGTTTTGGCACGGGTCATGATGGTTCATAAAGATTCATAAAGATCATAAAGTCAAGTTGATATGAAAGAAACAATGACCAACATTTGCTCTTCCCTGGACTTGACAACCGGCACCTGATAGCACCTGGGCATTTTAAGGAATACGTGGGCAATAGGCAATGCAATTCCTGAATGTTAACTTATATCCATCTACTGGGCTGCCCTGTGGATACGGAAAGATATATACATCCTCCAAGATGTTCAAAGCCGTCTTGCCTCCACACCCATGTGACGTTCTGGGACTTTGAGCCGAGCGCATGGGATGGACGGCGAGCGGGACGTTCAACGAGTTCATTGAGGGATATCGAAGGAAATCTTCCGCAGGGACATTGGAAATGACATGTTTATGGGGGGCGGAATAGCCACTTCACATCTCTTCATATATCACCGAAGGCACGGCTACGTCCTAATCAGGCGCTGCCAAAAAAAAAGAATTTGTTTCTTCAGACCCTCCTTGGTGACGCAAATGCGGTCGATGAGTTGCGGCCTCGGTAGGGGGGCTTTCAATGGGATCTGCCTGGCAGCTTTGGGCATCAGCATGGAACACCAAGCAACTCATACGTCACATGCGTAAAAACTAAGTTGAACCATATTTCATCATAGATCATCATAGTCCTTAGTTTGAAATGGCTTGAGGGATTGTATAGTCTTATGCTGTCCCGGGCTCCCCCACAGCTGCGCCACAACCTCGATTCCAACAGGTGCAAAGTCGGCTCTTTTTTGGGGCCGACTTTGTCCAGAAGCTGCGCAAAAAGGCATCTGGGTTCGACCAAAAATATCCAAGCAAAATTAGTCAAGACTTAATGAGAAATATGGGGAACATGATGATCAACCCTGATGGGCTCCGTTAACTTGAGGCTTTTCCCCACCCTTCCTGGCTTGTAGGCTCCCAAACATATTGTAGGACCAAGCATGGTATACCCGTGAAAACTCAAATTATGCAGCCCGTAAATGGATTTCAATGGAGTTCAAGTCGTTGCCTGTCTTCCCACTAGAACAATCTGTAAGACCCAGTTTGTTCGGGTTTCATGCTAATCAAAGGTACCAACTGGCCGTTGACTGGGTTCCACCAACACTCAAGGCACCAGCGAACCAGCAGTTGCCAAGGGCGCCCTACCATCGGGATGGCTCGGCAGCAGTTGGTGAGTGGTTTATTTTTACTGTGACTGTACCTGACTATAGCCCGCACAGTTACAGGGGATATTCCATGCATGTACCACTGGATTGCTAAATATTTACATAAACATACATAAATATATACGAAGATACACGAACAATATTATACATATATATATATATATGTATATAATTATATAGTATATATCTCTGTGTGCGCTGTGTATAAAATCCCACCTAGTAATTGGGTGTACACGCCATAGCCAGAAACAGCTCCCGGCCTGACAGACATCCTCCGGACGCGCAGCCTGCCGGTGACAGGAGGGAAACATGAGAAGCACCTTCCCAAAAAAAACACCCACCCTCCAGTAAATTAACATGGACCCTGGCAAATAGGGATTGGAAGATTAGTTTCCACTCGAAAATTGTTGTTTTCAGGGTCTATGTTAATCTACCAGAGGGCAAATTCTGGACTGATCTGATAGCAGAGACTAAATGGAACCACGGTGCATGAAAACATAATTCTTTGCCGTGCAGTTGCCAGACGCTGTAGGGTTTGGTTGCTGAAGGTTAAAATCAAACCTTGACATGTGGACCCCTTCTTGCCCTTAAGGCGTACGCACAGACATATCAGGTGTGCGGGTAGGTGAACAAACATACAGTTATGGCCCTTTACCAATTATAAGTACAAAGTCACCCCATTTATGGAATGTATAGTCCCAAGAAACATCAAAACAGTTATTTCACCACTTATAATTGGTATTTCCGGCCATAACAAACATCATTTTTTTGGGCATTTCTTCATGGAACATGTCATGAGAACATCACAATGACGACCTCGGAAAACACGCCACACCGTCCGCTGCGGCCATTTCGGCTGAGGTCGACGGGATCGAAATCAGCCCCCTGGGCCCCTCTTGGTCCATGCCATTTCCAACTTCTTAGCATTCAGGCGCTGGAACCTGCGGATTTTACATAGCAAAGCTGGGGTTTAATGGGTTTAGTGTGGTTTTATATGGTTGAGTAGTAGAGAAACACTTGTTATCGGATGTTCATAGAGTACAACTCCAATCAGCAAACCCTCAGGAACATTAGGAATCGATGTCTAGTAAAGCTCCGTCACATGGGAGGAGAAGAGAAACAACTGGCAAATGGAGAGAGGCTTTAAACAAAAACGGAATGGACATCGCCTGGCTTCATCTCCCAAGACCTTGTTGACCAAAAGGATTATGTCCTCGAAGCAAGTTGTGAGAGTGTCGTAACCCCCAAAGAGTAGAGCTCCGCCAAGTGTGCCAAGTCTTGGTCTGATGAAACATGATGAAATCATCAATTCCATTTTTAATATGTTTTTCCTATGTTTGTTGGGGATTGGCAAACCTTGGTCACTCTGCCGGCTCCTCCTCCTTTACTCCGACTGCTTCTTCATCTTCCTCTCTGTGGTGAGCCAACACGAACTTGGGCTGGCCACCACCTGAAATTCACCCTGCTGTGCCCTCCCCGACATCACATCGCCACATTTTATCGCACAATGACTCGCTTGACTTCTGCAAGCCACGTCTTCGCAAAAAAAAAAAAACATTGCACACCATCGCAATATTACAATGTAAAATAGCTAGATATGATTATTCACGAATGAAGCATTTGTGATTAGGCATGATGAGTCAGCTGAAGTCAAGATGAAGTCACTATAAAGTCACCATTATGACTTACTTAAAGTTTGCTGTCTTAGATCCTTTAATTTATTTAAATCACTTAAGTCACTTACCTAAAAGTCACCTAAACCATATAAGTTACCGGAGGATTTGTCCCATTGGACCGCTGCATGCCTCGGAGCACCATGGCGGATGGGAGCGCGGGTGGGTCCAAGAGGATCTTCAGCTGCCGCTCGATACTCAAGTCCTGGGGGATGATGGTTGCGAAATCCTGCACCAGTTGATGGCAGGTTGTTAGTTGATCCCGTTATTTTGAAGGTTTCAACATGTTTCAACCATTCAAAGTGGTGCAGGATTTCGCTGGCCCATCCACAGTATGATGCTAAATGGATGCTAAATGGATTCGAAATGGATTCTAAATGTAAGATAGATGCTACATGTTCGATGGACATGGATTCTAAATGGATTCTAATTGCATGATATTGACCAGAATTGATAGATATTGTAGCAATTTCTATTCTATACATTGCTTGGGCATATGGAATGAAAATGAATGGGAATGAATGACGTATACCCGTTGAATCCACTTGAGGGAAAGAGATTTCAAAGTCTAACAACTTGTAAATGCTACTGCTGCAACGTTTGTATTCTACACAGTTTGCAGCATACCAAATTGGGCCAGGTGTATTCGTGTCTCACTGCGGCGTTTACAACATTGCATGGAACAGGATGGATGTCCCCAGAAGAGTTGCGCGCTTTCAAGGCAAGAATGGGCCTGGAGAATAGCATTATCAATCAGGTGAAGTGAGACATAGCCAGAAATCGTTTGGGAGAGAAAGGTCTAGAACCGAGCATGTGATGAACTGGGAGGCATTGACTTTTGTTTACCTGGCAGAATTCAAACAGCAACACGGCAAATTGGCAAATGTATGCAAATCTAAGAATCAACTTTCAGCAATCCCAATTTTCTCCAAGAGTGCTTTCGTACATATGTTTTTTTTCCAGAAATCATTGCCCACCATCAAGGGCGACTTACAGCGACATACCTCCCAGCACTACATGGCCTTAAGACTTGAACTAGTCCCCTGAAACAAACGAGCTTCGAGCCAGAGGAAGTCCATCAGAACGCCTCGCTCGTCCAGTCGTTGCTGGAAGTGATCCTTGACATCCAGCAGCATGCTCTCGTCTGCGTTGGTCAAGCCACCCTTGGTCATGTACACTAAATAATAGAACTTGTCCTTGGCGGCGCAGGGATTCCACTGGGGTCGTTCCGTGTCACCGTGGGATGGGGTCAGACAACCCATTTACTCGGGAACTCTAAGGACAGGTCAGCTGCGAAGGGCTGCACAATGGATGTGGCGAGACTCTTCCCGGCCGAAGCTTCTTTGATGGCTCCCCAAAACCTCCACGACTAGTTCTGTCAGAGAATCTCTGTTCAAGAGCCTCTGCTGCGACATGATGTTCAGCTCTTGAATGACTGGCGAGGTCTCACTCGCCACACCTGACCCACTAGCAAGGGGCATGGCTGCAGGAGCTGGGCTGGACG